CTAAAACTAGAGCAATTAACAAATAATACTTTGAAAAGGTATCCATAAACGAGCATTATTAAAACTATAACAAAGACCACAAGATAAAGCTTTACTCGGGGGTCCAAAAAAAAACTATACCAAAAGATTAAAGAAAGATTAATTAGTACGCCGAGGTACTACTGCTTCATAAAAAAGAAGAATTATAAAATCAATTTCCTGTTTTTTTTTCCTTGTAATTCCCTCTAATTTTTTTAATTACATAAATATAATAGATGGTCCTCACTCCTCACTTTAAATAACACTCATTGGTAATGCCTAGGTCGTGATGCATTTAATGTTATCGTGAGCAGTTTTTTCATTGGAATTTGGAAGTATGTTGATCGTAGACCGAAAAAAAAAAGATTGGTAACATAGTGAAAAATCGTGATTAATGATTTTTTTTTTCTTTCTTTTTGATAGATATATGTGGTAATTTTTCAGAATAACAGTGGAGAGATGAACTCCTTTTTTTATGTCTATTATATACTACCATATTCTAGTATTGTTAAAATGTTCTTTTTTTTTGGTTGACAAAAGAAGAAGATCGTCTACAATTTCACTTTTTTTTTTTTTTGTCGTTCGGGATTAGGATATATCATCCAATCCAAATAGTTTCGAACATCATATCTGTCGAATATACTAATTAATTATAGCGTTACGTGATGTTTCTTCTTAAGCCTACACAAACATTTAACAATAAAAAGCTTGGTATGGTGGTCTCAAACAGCAAAACTGAGTGTGTAAAGTGTAAACTAATACAGTAATTTGTTTTTAAAAAAGATAAAAAAAAAACTATTGTTACAAAAGTCATAAGAAATATTAAATTACGTTGACAAAATATAGATTAATTCAAAAAAAAACTTTTTCGTTGACAAAATTTATTTCCAGATCTTTTTAGTGTGGCTTGAAATTCAGTCGTGAATATGAATTAGAACAGTAGTCAGTAGAGGTAGTAAGTTGTACAGTTACAAACGATGATTTTGACAAATTAACAAAATGTAAACAAATTTATAACGAGGTGAAAAAGAATTGTCTTAAAGAGAATACTAAAGACTAATCTATAAAAATTAAATATTATAAATTATAGTAAAATTATGTTATTGTTCGCTTAAAATGCGAAAGCATTACGTATAGATAGTTTCGGACCAACCAATCACCAAACTAAGGCTTCTCATCATCGTAGAACATAGACGACAACAACAACAAAAACACACTTTCCCAATAGTTCTCTTCACTATGCTTCACATGTTCAACGAATCATCACTCTGGTTTTCTCCATTTCTCCATTTCTTGATTTCCTCAGATTCTTGTTTCTTGATCCTTAATTCATTTTAAAGTTTCTCAGTTCTTGCTTCTTCAATGAGTCTCGTTTCACTTCACTCGCTTGCGCTCTGTAAAGCCCGTCTAAGTTCAGAAGCCATAACATGCAAAAGAACCGGTTTCTGAATCATACCATTCATCCCCATTTGCAAACATCTTTCCCTAACATGATCTTCAGTACTCGCAGTCAAAGCTATAATCAATGGCCAGTGATGTCCACAGAACTTCCTTATCTTCATGGCTACTTCGAAACCATCCATCTCCGGCATCTGCAGATCCAAAATCACAACCCTATACGACATTTCCACGTTCGACAACGCACTCAAACACTCGAATCCAGACGATACAGCTGTCACTTCGCATCCGAGTTTCTCCAGAAGCCTCTTGGTTACGGTTCTGTTGACATCATCATCGTCCGCTAGCGTGATTCTTAAGCCACGGAGAATCGAGTTTGAATTCGGGTGTTGAAGCTCTTGAGCATTTCCTGCTAAGATTGATCTTCTAATCGAAGGCCTTGTCTGAAACCTCAGAACCAATTGCATACTCTGTGTTTGTCCATGTGATTTCGGTGATATCCATATGTTTCCTTGCATCATCTGCACACAAATTTTCACGGTCAAAAACATTACCATATGAGCAAAATAAGAAAATACGAAACAGAGATCTGATGAGATCACGAACCTGTGCAAGTTTTCTACACATGCCTAAGCTCAAGCCTTCCTTAATTCCATTGCTATGGTACCTTCTGTTTGGAATATGCCTCATTGCCATAGCCGAACCATCCAACGGAGGATTCTGAATCTCATTAATCTCAACTTCAAATTTCACGCCGAGCGAATCATCGGACAAATGCGACTTCCACATCCCAGTCTCTCGCTTGTTCTTGTCCTGACTACTTCCAGTGCCTTCGGAGATAACCCGAAAAGTAACGGTTTTGCCTCCATCAGTCATATCCAAGATATACCCAAGCATATACATCACAAGCTGAAACGTTCTCTTCTCATCCCCCACTACTAGATTAGGCAGACGCGTTTGAACATCCATCTCGAAGCCGTAGCCTTTGTAAACGCTCAAGCATTTCGCGACGCAAGCGGCTTCTCTTATCAAGGAATGAAGCTGAAACCTTTTCACCTCCAACGGAGATTTCCCGTTATCTTTAGGCGAAATGTCGATCACGTCGTTGATCAGAGCAGAGAGGACCGTACTCGTTTTCATGAGGGCGTCGACGATGATCTTCTGGTCAAGACTCATACTTTCGGACTGAAACATGGAAAGAAGGCCGAGGATCGTGTGCATCGGTCTCCTCATTCCATGGCTCATCACTTTCTGGCAGGTGTTCCTCGCTTGGCTCGCCATCATCGCGTTCTGTTTAGCTCGAAGTAAAGCTCGGTTCTGAATACCGAGCTTCTCTCTCATTAACTGCGATTCCTCGAGAACAGAGGCGTGTGAGAGAGCAACCGCGACTTGATCAGCGACAACTTCTGCTATCTCAATCTCTTTGTCGGTCCAAACCCGTGAATTCGCATTCGGAAGCACCAACACCATTATAGCATAAGAAGTGTCCACAAACTCAGGAGTCCCTCCTTTGAAATTCGATCCGTGAAGCATCGGCATCCTGATCGCAGCAACCGGACCAAACTCCTCCGAACCGCGACAACCGCTGCTCTCGGTCGCAAGAAGAGAGCTTTTCCTCAGAATCGCCACTACTTTCGCCTCCCTAACCTGTACAACATCGGGATCGTTGATCGGGATCACCCTGAAACTCCTCATCGGATTCGCTCTTAGCTCATGAGTCAAATGCATCTCGGTTCTGTTCTCGTTAGGCATCCAAACGGCAGAGTTCTGTAGATCAAGAATCTTGGAGAGCTCGACGAGGGTAGTCCGAAGAATCATATGCTTGTCGAGCGACTTCCTGATCTCACGAGTAAGCATTCTCACCTGAACACTCATCTCCTTCTGTCTCTTCATCAACCCAACCTCTTCGTTAAGCTCCAGCACATTCTGCTTCAGATAAAGCTCCCTGACTTTCCATTTCAACAGCAGAGGAATCAAGGTCAAGAGCGTGATCGCCGTGGCGCAGGAGACAAGCGCTGTGAGGAACTTGAAGATGGTGAGCCACAGCATCAGCTGAAACGAATGTGGTCCGTAGTACGTCCAAGCGTTTAGCAAATGAGTCATTCCACAGAGGACGATAAAGGCTATGAACTGAACAAGAACCCATTTGAAAGGAACGTTGGAGAAGCTGATGAAGTAGAGGAGCTCGAGTGGTATTGAGAAATACGCAATGGCGATCAAGAGATCACTCACTCTTTGACATTCCAGGATCGTGTGGACGCTCAAGAACCCTTCGTCGTCGCAGTTACAGCTCACGTAGTCGTTGTCTCCAGAAACCAGAGCGAGAAGAGCAAACAGAAGCAATCCAAGACCTAAGGATCTTAACATCTTTACCCAAAATCTTAAAACCCTAATCGAATCCAGACTCAGCCTCAGGCTTTACCAGTCGAGATCCAATGAACCAATCAGTAACCGACTTCGTATTCATAGATTTCCACAACACGTCCACACCAATGAGATTAAACAACTCCAAACCCGCATACCCAGAAGATGAAAACGAATCAAGATCTACGTTCCTCGATATTCGTAATTGGAATAGAAACCGACTGGATATATATTTTTTCCGGGAAAATTCCAGAGGAGGGATAATCAGAAAATGAAACCGAGATTCAAGCCAACGAAATTGAACACACACAGAAAGAACACACCTTTTGAATCTAGTAGGGGAAATAAGAAAGACCCGTCTCAATGAGAAACGTTTGCATCGACGACGGAATCTATCGAGTCAATCTGACATCTATTTTAGCGAAGACGAGAAACAGAACAGATGAGGAAGAGAAGAAACCGAGTTTTGTCGTGGGCGTGGCAGATCTTTTCCGGGAGTTTTTCAGTTGCGCGTTGCAGATTTTCAGACTCGAGTCAGCAACTATTCAAAGTTTTAAGACAAAAGCAGCAGACTTTGAGCTCGGAGAAGTTGCTTAATACTACTAGAGATATCAATAAAAATGGTGTTTCACTGAAACATAAATAAATAAATTTCCCAAAAATGATTTAAAAAGTTACAAGTTGACAAAAAATAACCACACTTGTGAGCCCAAACAAAAATACAAATACTAAAAAACTGTAAACAATTTAATCAAATATTGAAGGAAACAAAATTTAATTTTCGAAGGTTATAACAAAATTGTTTTGTCCAAATAACGCTAGTTTACTAAAATGGCTATGATGTCAAAAGTTTGATTGACAGAAATAGAATTCAAACAAACAAAGTGTATTTATATTCATAAAAGAGCATTTCCTTTTTAAGTAACAAAATCCAAAAGAAAGAAATATAAATTTAGGAAGAGAAAAGAGTTAAAAAAAGAAATGTAAAGAAAAGAGGATCAGAATCAGGTGTTACTGAAAGAAAAAAAGGCGGTGAAGTTTTATATATTACACCGTAACCAAGAAAAACAAAGCATCACTCAACTCCTGTCTCTGATGAAAACCCGCAGACAAAGATTCTGTCTTTTTGAAGTCCTCTCTCAGTTCAAGATTCTTGCTCGAGGCTTCGGTTTCTACTTTGGATCTAAACCCTACACACGTCTCTGGAAAGCTCGATGCTAATCCGGCATTTGCTGCTCGTAATCTCCGTTCTCCGACGACTCATGTCCTATCCGTCCTGCACAAGATCACATCAATGAGGGTTTCAACTTTCAAAGCCATATTACCCCGAAAGGAGAAAGCTTTAGCTATAGCTTTTTCGCCTCAATGCTCTATCTCTATCAGTAAAGAAGACATCTTTTTGAGAAAGTTTTGAGCTTTATATACCTGACAAATCATAACCACCACCACCAGCACCTCTACCATCATGACCGCTGTTGCCTCCTCCTCCCCATTCAGATGGCCGAGAATGAGCCATGTGCATTCCCGGCGGCGCTTGCATCATGAAGTGATGAGACCCACCCATACCGGTTTGCTGATGATGATGATGCTGCTCATCGTTTCCCCCCGAAGATTCCATACCAGAACGGAAACCCATGCCAAGCAACGGTCCAGTGGTAGAGGGAGAAGTTAACCGACTTCCGCTGTTTGAAGCCTCCCCTTTCCCACCACTCCCGGCGGCATCCTTCTTTCTATCAAGCTGAAACGTACCAAGAATCACCTGCTTTTTGCACACAATTTAAGGCCATCAATCGAATGCCAAAACTTATTATAACAGGCGAATCTTATAACCCGAGAAGCTGTGTAAGATAGTAAACTCAACACCAAAAAAGGACACATATGACACACAAGAGGAATTTACCTGAACCGGGCCAGCAGCCGTCAAGTGAGTCCCAATCGCTCCTCCGATGATCTGACCATCCGAACAAGATAAAGAAACGCTAAGGCCACCGGTTTTACCACCTTGTTCGGCCTGGATAAATGATCCGGATAGTGAGAGAATCTCGTACTGACCCTGAAAAATAATATTGAAAAATTCTGAAGCGAGTCCAACAGCTATAAGCAAACTTCAAAGAAAGCGTCTAAATTAAGTATCATTTAGCTTTTCGCAGCATGTCAACTATATTATGACTTAGTTTTTGTCTAGCATACAGGATAGAGAAGAAGACCAGGAAAAAAGGAAGAAACTTCCTCTACCCTTTGGGAAGAATCAGCAAAGAAGAGAAACTCAGTATACATACTAATATACGGCAAAGAGAAAATCACCTCATATGATATGCTGCTTCCTGATGTGGCTGGCTGGCGCAAGGATGCACTTGCGATGGTGCCCGACGCCGAAAGAACGCATAGTTCATGCTTGCTTTGGTTTGCAAACATCACAATTTTCTGGGCCACATCCTGTCAGAGAACACATAAAAAGCGCTAAGATTCCTCAATGAGTAAAGAAAAACAGTATATTTCATAGATGAGCTTTCACTGGAATCACTTCGACATTAGAAATGCTAGATTGTGTCTTAACCAAAGAATCTCTAAAAGATAAGGATCCTGACTCTTGAGTGTAAAGAACACGACATACCTCACCAGGGGCTATATTAACGATATGCGGGGTAAAGCTTTGCCCAGTTTTCCCTGCACCCAAAAAAGATAAAAGATGAAACTTTAATTCTCAGAATCTCACTAGAGAAGCAGCACTTGTTGAGATACTCAAAATTGATTCACCTGAAAAGAAACAAAAGGCCATTGACTAGATAGACAAACTCTACAAGATTGATTAACAATACAAACGAGAATCCATCTGCAAGGGATGATACTTTGTGCTCTAATTACGAATAGATATAGAAGTTACATAATGCAATTGCACATAATTTCGTTACCTACGATTTAGCAGCTAAATGATCAAAATTAGGAACCTCAGACTAAAAATTCACCAGAAAGTCGGAAACTTTGATATCAATAGGGATCGAATTAGGAGAAACAGTAAAGGGCTTTGCCCGGAAAGAGTAACCCACCGACAGAACCAAGCTGAGATTTCTTCGATGACCCGGAATTAGACGATGCCGTACCTCCGGCTGCAGCCGCTTGCTCTCTCCTCTCCTTAGCAGACGAACTGCTCGCAGAAGAAGCCATTTTCTTAGCCGCTAGGGCTTGCTCCGGCGTCACATACTTTCTCGGACGACCTCGTTTTCTCTTTAACGGCTCCATCGGCGCCGTCACCGCGGAGGAAGGCACTGAGTGAGGGTATACGGCGAGGGAGGATGGCCCATCATTAGGCTGCGGCTGTGGCTGCTGCTGCTGCTGCGGCGGCGGAAAAAGCCCATTGTTGGAAGATGGAACGGCGTTTCCGGTCGAAGCAGAGGTTGGTACGGTGGTTGGGTGATGCTGCTGTTGCAGATGTTGAAGGTGCTGCAGGTGGAAGTAAGGAGAACTGAGACGTTGCTGCTGCTGTTGTTGTTGGTGGTGGTGGCTTTCGTTAGGTTCCATTGCTTTTTAGAGAGAGAGAACAAAAATTTTAGAGAGAGAGAATTAGGGATTTTTTTTCATTTTTTCATTTTCATTTTTTTTTTGTTTCTTTAGGGCTTTTATTATTTTATTAGCGTTTCATTTTTTTTCCCCGTGGCTTCTTTAAACCAAGAGATATCAAAGAAGAAGACGTGATGTGAATCTCAGCCGTTCGATCAAGATTTGACTTAAATTATTTTGACTTTTTGAGATTTTATTTACTTTTAGTCTAAAAAGCAACTCTTCGTTTTCTTTTTTGCGTTTCGAGGAAACAGAAAATTGAATTCAGAGGGAAACGAAAGATCACCTTCTCAGTTTCAGAGTGTCGTAGTCATTTAGTGACACGTCAGAATAATAATTCTAAAATGTAAACTCTCTGACACACCATAAGGAAAATCTTAAAATTGTAGTACAATTATTAAAACCCGAATTAAAAAAAAAATAGTTTGATTCAACAAAATGTATATATAAAAAACTATAAGCAGAATGGTTTAAAAAGATTGCATACATTTTCCCACTTGTCTTCGTCAAAATTCTTCCTCAACCAGAACACTAACCAGTAATTAACCACTACCCCGGTTCGGCCGGCCACACATGATATTTATCAGTTGCTTCCTCAAAAAGCAACTAAGCCAACAATAAAACTCGTAAACTATATAGTTATGAATTTTGTAACAATCCAAATTTCCTTCTTTAGGAATATTGTAACAATGCTTATCCCCACGTCCACTCCTCTTACAAACCTAAACTGAGCTGCTTTATTGTAGAAACCAGTCACTATTATATACAACGCTAATATCGTCCAAGTACATATTGTTTCATGGCTATCATCTTTGGTGCTCCTCCTCCCTAAGTTCTGAAACTACGTTGAATCACTGGCTTTTCATATACACCAAATATTGTTAGAACTCCTATTTGACGAAACGGTTAAGAGTTTGGACCATTTTCCGGCAAAGACTTGGTCTTTACCCTTCGCAACAGCGTGAATGTAAGGCTTAAACATTTTTCACATGTAGCCGCCACTGGTAAGTTCTTGTTGAACAGAGCTTCCATTGAGAAAGTGCTTGAGGTACTCTGCTGTTTTTGCATTAACTATGAGTGATCTCTTTCAATAAACCGTCTTGTATTTGCTTCACATTCGAGGTCGTAATTGAGTAGTGATTTTGGGATGGATAGGGGATATTTGACATATATAAAACTTGACATCACAATTGACTAAAAAAGAAAGACCCTTGGTCCCAAAATGTAATAAACATATAATAATTTAAACCTCGTTTTGTTTTCTTCCCTGCCCTAACTACACTATCCCCAGTCGCAAATCCGTAATCTCCGCGGCCGTCATATCACCGGAAACTCCATAGGTACTTTGAGATGACAATGCATTCATCTCTCTCTCTCTCTCTCTCTCTCTCTCTGTAGCTTTGTTTCTTAATCAGTGAGTTTTTATTCGCTTTTGAATCCGACTTGCTTTTCCCCTAGGTTTTTCTTCCACGGGCGCGATGGAGGTTGATAAGAAGGAGGAGATAGACTCTGAATCTTCGGAGCAAGTGGTGAATCCATGGGAAGTCTCCGCCAAAGACGGCGGGAAAATCGATTACGACAAGTTAATCGATAAATTTGGCTGCCAGAGGCTCGACGAGTCGCTGATTGATCGTGTTCAGAGACTGACTTCTCGTCAACCGCATGTCTTCCTCCGCCGTGGTGTCTTCTTCGCCCACAGGTTCGCAGCTAACTTCGTTTTGATGATCTAACTGTAGAATTGCGCAGATGGAAACTCCTGTTATTGCTGGATTAACTCTTGGTGAGATTTGAACAGGGACTTCAATGAGATCTTGGACGCGTATGAGAAAGGAGACAAGTTCTATCTCTACACTGGAAGAGGGCCTTCATCAGAAGCTTTGCATTTGGGGCATTTGATTCCTTTCATGTTTACCAAGTAAGTCTCGAACACCCTGAAGCTATTATTGTCTCGATGCGAGGATGGTTTTGGAAGTTTTTGCTTATCCTCTGTACTCGAATTGGCTCGCAGATACTTGCAAGAAGCTTTCAAGGTTCCGCTCGTCATACAGCTCACGGATGATGAAAAATGCATGTGGAAGAACTTATCGGTGGAGGAAAGTCAAAGGCTTGCTAGAGAAAATGCGAAAGATATAATTGCTTGCGGATTCGATGTAACAAAGACCTTCATTTTCTCCGACTTTGACTATGTTGGCGGGTGAGTCACATTTAGTTTTTGGTTTTGATGTCTACATTATAGTTTTTTTTTTTCTGGCTGATGATGTGAGAAAACCTTGTGTGTATAGTTCTTTCTACAAAAACATGGTGAAGGTTTCAAAGTGCGTTACACTTAACAAGGTGACTCTACTTTCTATCTCCTTGAATTGCACAATCTGGATCGTATAATTTAGTTGGTGCTTCGTGTTCCTGCTTTACGTTCCAATCAACTTCTTTGCTAGGCTATGGGAATCTTTGGCTTTTCCGGCGAAGATCACATTGGAAAACTCAGTTTCCCTCCTGTGCAGGTATGTCTTTTTGTTCGTGTTGGCGTGCGCATGTGTAGTCTAATGCATATAGACTGTTTTTTGTTTAATTTGATTGTTTTTCTTGCTATACATTTGCAGGCAGTTCCATCTTTTCCCAGTTCATTCCCGCATTTGTTCCCTGGCAAAGACAATCTCCGTTGCTTGATTCCTTGTGCAATCGATCAGGTTTGCTGTTTTTCTTTTCCTTTCACTTTGGATCGTAACCTGTTTACTTCCGAAGATAAATGAATTTCCCAATGGTGTAAAATGTTTGCGAGTCTGCCTGAGTCATTTCCATCCATAAGATGTCTTTTTTTTTATGTTCTCCGTGTATTATGGTGTTATGCTGATTTTGAATTTATAATCAATCTTTCGTTTTTGTTTTATTCAGGATCCTTATTTCAGAATGACTCGCGATGTTGCACCTCGGTTAGGCTATAGCAAGCCTGCTCTGATTGAGTCATCATTTTTCCCTGCGTTGCAGGCAAGTACTCTCTTAAGTAGTCTTCAGTTACTGAAAGTGATAGAGATATGCTTATACCTTGTACATCAGACCTTGATGCTTTCAAACAAATTGAATGCCTTGGTTACTTTTCGCAGGGGGAGAATGGAAAAATGTCTGCTAGTGATCCAAATTCTGCTATCTATGTGACTGATACTGCAAAGGACATTAAAAACAAGGTAATTTCTCTAATTCTTTTTGTTTTTCCTAGTATCTTGTTCCACATGCCAATTCTGGATTTCGTTAATAACCTTGTTGCACACATATTCTTTATCTGGTTGCTTGAGTCCTTTCTGTCACATGTTAGAATAATGATAGAAAAGGGCAGTCACTTATGCTGTAACCACAACTTTGTTTCAGTTTTCTAAAAGTAAATTAGTACTCCAATCCTAAATAGGGTTCCAGATAATTGCTTCATGTAACTTAACTTGATAAGGTTTTTATATGCAGATAAACAGATATGCTTTCAGTGGTGGGCAAGACTCCGTCGAAAAGCACAGAGAACTGGGAGCAAATCTGGAGGTACATAATTATTTTGTTTTGTTCACTCCTGTTATTCTATATACTAGGTAGTGTAAACTCAGCTATGTTCCTTGCACTGTGACATCCGATTTAGGCATAGATCCTCTCTCTATTAGATACTAAACTTGGTGTTCGTTGGATAACCATTACTTTTATGGGAAAGACCTAAGTGCAGTTCGAAAGGAAGACTTAATCCTATCGAATTGCGTGTTTGTGCAAAACTGTTTTATTGATACTTAATCCTATCGGTTTCAGTGTTATTACTCAAGTCTTTCTCTAGTAACCTTTCTTCCATTTTTTACAGGTTGACATACCAGTCAAGTATCTGAGTTTCTTCCTGGAAGATGATGCTGAACTTGAACACATAAAGAAGGTAAATTACGTTACACTTGCACCTAGCTCTTGTTATTAGATCATTACAGAGAATGAAGAATGCTCATATCTGTCTTAGTCCGAATTATTTCAAATAAAAAGTTAAAAAAAAAAAAACTGTATTGTGTTTCAGGAATACGGAGAAGGAAGAATGCTAACCGGAGAAGTAAAGAAGCGACTCACTGAAGTTTTGACAGAAATGGTGGAGAGACACCGCAGGGCTCGAGCTGCTGTTACTGATGAGGTAAACATCGATTTGACTAGAGACTTGATAGATTTATTGATTTTTACAATCCTAACAAAAGAAAACACTAATAATAATCAGATGGTGGATGCGTTCATGGCCGTGAGACCTCTCCCAAACATGTTCGAGTAACCTGATGGAAACTCCTTTTTTGGCTGCTTCTGCTGCAACTTCACATCACCGACTTCCGAATTATTTCTGTTTTTTTGTTTAGATATTTGAAAGGATATGAATTCATTCTTGAAGTGTTCACATATTTACAACGAGAATTAATCGTTTTTCTTCTTCTTCTTCTTTTATGTTTAGAAATATGAAGCAACCTTTTAATTGAAGTTTGGTGATGATTTCTCAATGTATAGAAACTTCTTTCGACAAAACTAAGAAATGAGGCAAAAGTAAAGATATTGAAAACCAGAGTTGTCTTTCGTTTATTTTGGTGTTTAAGAAAGAATAAGTATTTGGATATTTGTCACAAAAAGAGTAATTATTTAGTTATGAAATCCAAAATCAATTATTGACCCAAAAGAAGAGAGTTATGTATAGTATAGAGTTGGGCCTGTCCTTCGGCTCAATTATCTATCTCTATTTTGGACTCAGAATCTGTGATGGCAAATCCGTAAATGGTAGGAAATCTGAAGGGTAGAGTAAGCGATAGGAAGTGGAGAAATAAAAGAAAAAGACATAAATACCCTATTGTCGGAGAGAAGGCAACGTGTAATTTGGCATCATCACCCTCTTGGAAACCTAATCTCTCCCTCTTCTGCCCCTTCTGTAATTCCCAATCCCACCCTTCCCTTAGTTTCCCTTCCTCTTCTCCCATTTCTTCCCCGATTTCTCCTTTTACCCGCCAATTTCAACCTCCTTTCTCCAACGGCTCCTTTCCCACTTCGATTCCCTCCTCCGAACCCTAGGTTCCTTCTTCCCGGATCGGTGGTTTGGATCTTCCGTCTTCTGATACCCAGATTTTGATTCTCGTGAGTTTTCTGCTTCTGGATTTTAAAGTTTCATTTTTTATTTTCTTGGGTGTTTCTTCTCCTCCTTTTTAACCTCTGATATTTTTATTTTTTTCCTTCTGTTGTCTTCTTCATTCGTATTAGTTTCTGCTCAGTTCAGATCTTCTTGTTGTTGATCTTGATTATGTAGTCTGTCCACACTCATGAGCTGATAAGAATTTGGAATTTTACTCATATAACTTTGTCGGATTTTGAAATGGGCTTTTGAATCTAATAATGTTGATTTGAGATTGGACGCAGCTAATATATTATGTTATTTGGTCGTCTCTATCAGATTTTGTGCACTCACTGTTGGTTTACTCTGCTTTTATAGCTCGATCGACCGAAATATCCGTTTGTCTCATGATAAAGTTACAGTTTTTTGGTTGAGGATGCAGAGGAAATAGCTAGATGACACTACGCGTTCTGTTTCTGTAAGTCTTAACCATTTGACGTATCTCGCCAAGTTCGATGCTTTATTAATATATCAGATCATATTGATATCTGATGCTTGGTCTCAATCTTGGGGTTTAAAAATTTGAATCTGAATGAATGAATGATAACTAGATGCCACGAGACACACTTTCACTTTACAATAGCTTACTTTATTTTCTGGATTTTTCTTTGCTTCGTTTGTCTTTTCGATTTTGGAATATATTTGTGTTTGTATCGTAAAGTTGGATAATTCGACCTTCTTGTGGTGTTATTTTATTACAGGCACTGTTCTTTTATTACAGTTACTGATAAAGCGAGAGAAGCTAGTTTCTTTTTACGAGTGGGGGTTTTTTGTGAAGCAGTGTGATATTAAAAGATTGCTTCAGCAATGGCGAATCGCGATTTAATGCTTGGACAGAATCGTAATATCGGTATTGGTCAGGGTCAATCGTTGGTGCTTGGTCATAGCCACAGTCTAGGGCTTGGTCAAAACCATGATTTGGAGTTAGGGCAAGGCCACGATATGGATTTAGGACAGTCTCATCATGATCATGAACTTGGTTTGGGACATCAACATGATGACCACGAGCTAGGCTTAGGACACAGTGAGAACCAGGATGAAGAGGATCACCATCATCACGACTATATGAACGAGAACGAAATCTCGGCGGATGAAAAGCCTGGACACGACGACGTTGATCCCGATTTGGTTCTTTCCTCGCAGAACCACGAGTTTTCGTTGTCGGATAACAACCAGCTGGTGGTTGGGGAAAACCATGAGCTAGACGAGAATCTTGAACTAGCCGTTGACTCGAGTCATGAAATTGGGATTGATCATCACGGTGAAATGGTTATGGTTAGCACTCCGGTTCAAGCCCGAGCTCTCTCTGGTGAGCTGACATACCAACTCACGGTTGGGCAAGAGTTTCCTGATGTGAAGAGTTGCCGTAGAGCATTGAGAGACATGGCCATTGCTCTTCACTTCGAGATGCAGACAATAAAATCCGACAAAACACGCTTCACGGCTAAGTGTTCGAGCGAAGGATGTCCATGGAGAGTCCATGCAGCAAAGCTCCCCGGTGTGCCAACTTTCACAATCAGGACTATCCATGAAAGCCATAGCTGTGGAGGAATAAACCATTTGGGTCACCAACAAGCTTCGGTTCAGTGGGTTGCTAGCTCGGTCGAGCAACGGCTCCGTGAGAATCCAAACTGTAAACCGAAGGAGATTCTTGAAGAGATTCATCGGGTTCACGGGATCACCTTATCGTACAAACAAGCGTGGCGTGGTAAAGAAAGAATCATGGCGACGATGCGCGGATCTTTTGAAGAAGGGTATCGGCTTCTTCCTCAGTATTGCGAGCAGGTTAAGAGGACGAATCCGGGAAGCATCGCTTCCGTTTATGGAAGTCCAGCTGATAATTGCTTCCAGCGTCTCTTCATATCGTTTCAAGCTTCGATCTACGGGTTTCTTAATGCTTGTAGACCGCTTCTTGGATTGGACAGGACGTACTTGAAGAGCAAGTATTTGGGAACTCTGCTTCTCGCGACTGGATTCGACGGTGACGGAGCTCTGTTTCCGCTGGCGTTTGGGATCGTGGACGAAGAGAACGACGAGAACTGGATGTGGTTTTTGTGTGAGCTTCACAACCTCCTCGAAACAAACACAGAGAACATGCCGAGGCTCACGATTTTGTCGGATAGACAAAAGGGAATAGTGGAAGGCGTGGAACAGAATTTTCCGACTGCGTTTCACGGGTTCTGTATGCGGCATTTGAGCGAGAGCTTCCGCAAGGAGTTCAACAACACCATGTTAGTTAACTATCTCTGGGAAGCTGCTCAAGCTCTAACTGTAATCGAGTTTGAAGCCAAGATTCTTGAAATCGAGGAGGTTTCTCAAGACGCAGCTTACTGGATCCGGCGGATCCCTCCTCGGCTATGGGCTACGGCGTACTTCGAAGGACAACGGTTTGGACATTTAACCGCGAATATAGTCGAATCATTAAACTCATGGATCGCTGAAGCATCTGGACTTCCGATTATTCAGATGATGGAATGCATCAGGAGGCAGCTCATGACTTGGTTCAACGAACGGCGAGAGACCAGCATGCAATGGACTTCGATACTCGTCCCAACCGCAGAGCGGCGTGTGGCGGAGGCTCTCGAGCTTGCAAGAACCTATCAGGTGCTTCGAGCCAATGAAGCGGAGTTTGAAGTTATCTCTCATGAAGGAAACAACATCGTGGATATTAGGAACCGGTGTTGTCTTTGTCGGGGATGGCAGTTATACGGGTTGCCTTGCGCACACGCTGTGGCGGCTCTTCTTTCTTGTAGACAGAACGTTCATAGGTTCACTGAGAGCTGTTTCACTGTGGCTACGTATAGGAAGACTTATTCGCAGACGATTCATCCGATTCCGGATAAAAGCCTTTGGAGAGAGCTCTCTGAAGGTGATCCAAACGTGAATAAAGCCGCTCTTGACGTTATTATAAACCCGCCAAAGTCGCTGAGACCGCCTGGTAGGCCGAGGAAGAGACGGGTTCGAGCTGAGGATAGAGGACGAGTGAAGCGGGTTGTGCATTGTAGCCGGTGTAACCAGACCGGACATTTCAGGACCACTTGCGCTGCACCCATTTGATTTTGCAACAATATTCAGCACACGCTTCATCTCTTACCTGTAAGTTTCTTAGCGCTGTTTAAGGATATAATGTTAAAGTGTTGTTAATTGAATTCACAGATCTGATATCTGTGTTGATTTATCTGTGACAGGAACCATACTGTGGACTCGAGTGAGTTACTTGGTAAAAAGGCGTAAAGTGTTACTATAAACGATCACCTCTCTTGATCAATTTCAAGATTTCAAGCAATATATATGGAAACAAACACTTGAAGAACAATACCTGTTTGTTGAATCCTTTCTCCATTTATATATATTTTTTCTTGTATCAGCTCGGGCGAAATTTTTTTACGCATAAACTCTTACGTTTCTTCATATTTCCTGAGTTCAGATTTTATTTTTATTTGGAATGTATTTTATTTAGGTTTAATCACAAGGTACCAAATCTTATGTATCTTTTACCCTTTTATTGCGATTCAAATAACAATCTTCTTACACAAACTCAGTCACAAACCACAGCATAGAACAATGGGTTTCGATAGACTAATTTCATGAAAAATCTTTTCAGAGTTGTAAAAACAAATCAAAAGATAATTTATCCGTTTACACAAACTCCGGGTAACCGATGTCTTGAAAACACATTTCATCAAATTATGGCAAGTGGTTGAAATTAATAAAGACAATAGAGAAAAGGGAACAACACCATATGTCTGGAAACGACTAGTTGAACAAACAAACAAAATAAAAAAACTGATTTAAGAAACCAGAGTGTTCGCTAATAACAAAATACAATCGATTAGGCATCATCTAGCGTTATCACCCTTGCTTGCAACTAGTAAAAACATTCTAACACTCTTTGATCAGTAACCATATCCTGAGCTGTAATCCGTAGCGTATCCTCCAGGCGGGTTCGTTGGAGCCGCTGCGTAGACTGAGCCGTGGGTTGCGTACGGGTTATAGCCTTGCGGCTCTTGTGCTACAGTTTGCGGCTGTGCTGGTGCCGGGGCTCCGGCTTCAGCCATGAAGTTCTGTCATCAAACACAATCAACGGTCATAAATCATCATAATAAAAAAAGAAAGAACAGCTTTTCACACCAGATTACAGAAACGTATGGCTGCAAAGTTACGTCACTATTTTATTGCTCTTTCTTGCTTTTTGCAAGATCCATAACGAGATGCGAGATTTTAGAGGTGACAATTGTTAAAAAATCTGAACTGTGAGAATAGAGGTACCTGGATAAGCTGCATAGCGGTTTGGACTTGTGAGCCAGTTCCGCTAACCTCAACAGTCATTTCACCAGGTACTCCCCTGGTTTCCTGAATGGTTACTGTTGCTCCACTAAGACGACGTGTGTAGCTTATGTTTGAACCTGACGTCCCTATTACAGCATCTGCGTAGGACAGTGGAATCTGCATTTGCTGCGTAACTTGCTGCAAAGTGGAAACAAACAAATCCCCACCAGTCAGATTCTATCAAGATGCTATTGCAGTAGATTGAAGAGTTAACTCCTCAGAGACGCATTGAAATCGACTACACAGCATGTTGCAGAGATTGGAAGAATACCTGAGCGGCCATAGGTGGGGCCGATGATACATGCACATTCATGGGAGGCTCCCTTCCATATGCAGATATACCTTGGTGAGGCTGTTTCTCCATTGGAGGTGGACGCATCTCAGGAGGAGGATAGTAATTATCGTGTCTTGAAGGTGGTTGCATATATGGAGGTGGTGGGTTGTGACCATAGCCAGGACCTCCGCCACTTGGGGCATGGCCTTGAGGTGGACCCCAGGTCTGGTGTGGCGGCGGCATATGATCTATCTGGCGAGTTGGCTTTTGCATCTGTTTCAAAAGCAGAGTAATGAGAATAGTTATTAGAAACGAATGAGAAACACTGCCAAATATCCGACTGGAAACAGAAGATAACCTGGTTTTCAAAGAACGGGATGATGCTACGATCAACCAAGAACTTTCTGAGATGTGATGCAATCAGCTCCAAGGCTTTATGAACACTTGTTGGTTCTCCAACAACTTCAACAACCCTATCGTCTTGAAGAGCAAAAACAGGCAAATCCTCTACAAAATTCCACCATAACAAATTATAGTAAGAATTACCAATGAATATTAAACGAACCAAACACAAAGCAGGGAACACGATCTCAGCATGTAAAATGTGAAGAGAAGGAACCTGATCCAAGGACTCTGACAATACAACTAGATGCTTCTTGAATGGCTTTAACTGTTCCTCCCTGTTTTCCAATCAAACTTCCAGCCTGAGATGCTGGGACTAGTAATCTTGTTGAAACCTTTGTGGGCGGAGGGGCCTGAGAAGCTTCACCATCCAGACCATCAACTATCCGCATGTGGACTCTCAGAAGGCCATCCATAGAAGGAGGTAGCGACGATTCGGGCTCTTCTTTTCCAGAAACCATAACCTGCCAACAAAGAGGAAACAAGTAGCCAACATTAACAAACAGTGATCTTAATCTCTATACCAATTATCAATTATGGTGCCATCATTTTCAAAGAGCCAAGATTATCCCATAGAAGTACAGACTCAAATGCACTTTGACCAGTTAGATGTTTATTTCATGTTATTGTCTTCATCTCAAGTTTCTAACCATGGTATTTAGATTCTCGCCTTTAAGATGCCATTTCAGCCATTAACCAATCTTCTCGACTTAGAGACGTTCTTCATATAACCTTTTTCATGCAATCTTAAAATTTCTCTTTACTTAATTGTTGCCTAAACCATATCTCATCGTCCACATATTGTTACATCCGGTTAAGCAGGTCCTTGCATGCCGCAGAAATTCTGCAGCAAGACATTAACCATCCAGGTACTGAAGTTACCAGAAATAATGCAGAGCTTCATGGCACTGAGATTTATACAAGAAGAATCTTGCCTACTCGGATAAACTTATCGGCACTTTGTAGTGCCTCAAGGTTGAATTCCTTGCCATCTGGCTTTGGTTCTTCATTTTTGAGACCTTACCGATGATTGATTTGCAAGATGTAACCTGCACAGATTCATGGTGGTCACAGCAATAAAGGGAACCCTACTCACATCTTATCAACTTCGTCGATTATCTTCCTCCTTTCACTTGAAGGAAATGCTAAGCAGGCCTGCTGGTTATTATACTCGATTAAGGCTTGTATAGTTACTAACGTAGTTTCTCTTGATGCACTACATTCCTCAACACGTTTTTAGCAGCTCCGATTCTTATCACTCAGCCAAACTAACACACTTTTCTGAGAAGACTTTGTTCATAACTTCTTTCAGTTGGGAGTGTGCAGTTTCCTATCTGTTTACTTATATCTTTATTTAGATCAAGGGGAAAGCATGCTCAAGGGATGTTTTTTAACTACATGTTCGTGGCCTTTTACATCTATCAACAGGAGCTAGAGCCTAAGACTTTAGATCAGTAAATTATACAGCCAAAAAAGTGTATTTTTCTACTAACATTAGTTTTCGTATCATTAGGATTTTAGTTTTGTTTCAAGCGCATTACTTGACTAACAGCTGAAACTTATGTAACATGAAATGTAAGGGCCAGGAAAAAGGATGTCGAGACTTACAGCTCTTTCGGTTGTGCCTGGAGGACCATCGAGAATCTTGATTCGAGCCCTTGTCTCCTCAACTATTTTCTTAATGACATCACCTTTGCGACCAATGATGCTACCCACTTTCTGTGCAGGAACCAGCATGCGGAACACCGTCTCTCCGGGCCATCCCGGCCACCTCTTCTCTTCACCAACTGTTGCACCACCTTCAGGCTCTGATTTCTGTAGAGACTCACCATGCTCAGGAATTCCTTCCTCACCTGCTACTTGATCTTGCACTTCATCACCATTATGATCTTGTGCCTCGCCTTCCACCTGATACTGGGCCTGATCATGAGCCTGGTCTTGCAACTGATACTGCTCCTCCTGATCTTGTGGCTGATATTGTAGTTCATCTTGCGGCTGATTTTGGACTTCTTCATTAGCCAGGTCCTGTACATGGTACTCTTGGTACTCTAATTGATTTTGAACCCCGAACTGCTGAGGTTCAAGAATCGGATCTTGAACCTCATACTGCTGAGGGTCAAGGATCGGATCTTCAACCTGGTATGGTTGGTGACCAAGGATCTCGTCATGGCCTTGGAACTGAGCCTCATCATGGCCCTGGAACTGAGTCTCGTCATGGCCCTGGAACTGAGTCTCATCATGGCCCTGGAACTGAATCCCATTGTGCACCTCCTCTAACCCATGATCCGTTACCTCATCTCCATTGTGGGCAACAAAATTTTGCTGTTCTTCAGGTTCAGCCATAACTACAGCGCTGACATAAAATCAGAGTCCAGAAACGCACATTAGTCCCGTTATACATATGAAAACAATTAAGGTTTCGTTAAATAAGTCTAGCCAAAGATGTCAACTTCGCCTATGCTTATTTTGCCAATAAAGAAGGGAAAAAACACTACTAAACATGAACATGTATGAGCGAGATATGATATGATATCATACATGCTTTGGGTGAAATTAGAGCCAGTGTCAGGAAACAAGATACTATCAAACGCAAGTTCTTAAGACGAGATAAGATCACTCTAGCACAACCGAGAGAAAAGTAGGCTACTTATACCCACAGAAACACGACTTCGTGAAACGTATTCATGGAAATTCAACCAGAGAACTCAAGATAGACACCAAATTCGTGACCAACTCTCATAAAAACCCTAAACTAACACAACGAACACAAAGGCGCACTGAGCAACCTAGAATTACCCATGAAAAAGCGAGGCATATGAACCGAAAGCTTAAAGATCAAGTGTACTTACATAATATCGACTAAACCTTCAGCGATATTAGAAAGAGAATCGAAAACTCGCTTCGAACGAGTTCGGCGGAGAAAGAGAAGAGAGAGAGAGATTCCGGCGAGAAAGGAGGCGGGTGAAATTATCTTAAAGTTGAGATCGAGGAGTAGTGAACTTATTCTTTTTTATACTTTTACTCCCTATAATTTAATAACTTCTAATTTGAACCAAATAGTTACTATGTACACCGAACCACACACAAATTAGCAAAATTAAACAAATAATATGGGCCTTGTGTCAATTTGAATTTCGTTTGTTATGTTATTTTATATTTGGTTTATATTATTTTCAATATTGTTTTTGTTACACGCCTTTTTTGGACTGCTCATATTTTTCAACTAACAGAATACTTCCCGCTTCATTTCCATATTTTATGCCATCTTTTTCTTGAATTTTTCCTTTTACATGTATTTATGATAACTAATCTATCTTCATAACTTCTTTCTATATATCGTTGACTTCTGTATGATTGCTTGCCACGAAACAATTCGGCAAAATAAAATGAACTTGTCATTGCACTTATTATTTAACAAAAAAAAAAACAGGAGTAAATGTTTGCATGAATGAAGAATAGTAGATATTTTCCTAAACAATCAACTACTATCATATCTATTGTCATATGTTCGATATGTCACAATTGAAACAAAAACAACAAAGCATAGTAAAGGAGCAACGTTCTTTCTTCTCAGCTGATTCTCAAAGCTCAATCCTAGGCCTCAGTGGCTGCGGCAGCTTCTTCCTGTACTTCAACAGCCGCCTCTGTCTCTGCATTAGCTTCTTCCTCCGGAGTTTTTCCGTTGGTCACTGGTGGCACCAAAGAGTCAAACTTGTCTGACTTGCCCAAAACAATCTCAATCTGCAACAACAATCGAACCCTAAACAATGTTAGATAATAAGTTAATTAAGCAGTTACTAAAAGGAGATATGAAAGAGATAAAACTCGCCTTTGCCTTCTGCACCATCCTTCCTTTGGTCTCGTCCTTCATTCCCACAGTCGATGTCAACACTTCTGAACAAAGATGAAACAGATTCTTGTATTGGACTGAGCTAGTCTCTTACAGAAAAGTTAATGGCTATCAGAAGAAAAGGAAACGCTGTACTTACTCTTCTCTGTTGCCAGTCCATTGTTCTTCAAGATCTCAGAGATGGTTACCACAGTTGTGATTGCTATGTACAAAGAATACATTAACATAGATACGCTCAGAGAAAATACTCACAAAGAAGATTAAGTTAAGTTTCAAATATATATACCCATTCCAAGTGCAGAGAGTTCGACCTCGTTGTGTTGCTGAATGTACCTCTGCACCAGACGACGAAAGACTCAAACAAAATGCAATCGCTAAATTTGATTCAGAAAATTTCCAATTGCTCTCTTTGTAATACGAACAAACAGTTGGTGGACAGAAATTGCCGATCGATCAAACAATTGAAGATCCATCACGAATCATTGTTCAGATTCAAATTCAGAGCGACGAATAATGTTCAGATTGAAATACTAATCGATATTCGCTTATTATATGTACAATCTACAATCAAACGGATCTCACGCTTCCGTAGACTAATTACGAAAAAATGCAAAACTCGTCTGATCTGAAAACAGTAGATCCGGTGATAAAGTATCGTTCCGATCAATAAATAAACATACCTTGGCAAGATTAACGTAGAAGAACAATGGTTTCTTCGTGTTGGAGACTTGGATCCTGTTCTTCTTGTGAGTCTCAGCAATGGCCGTCGTTGGCGGCGTGAGGACGATGTTTATCTCCGGTGCTGGGATCGGTGCAGGTGCCGGTGTTGCTACTTCCATCGCCATCTTCGATCACTCTTTCTTTCAGTCTCTGCGCAAACTTCTCTTCTCTTCTCTCTCTCTCGAAGACTTTCTCTCTCTCGCTAACGGGAAAAGTTCAATCTGATCGCTTTGGTTGGTTACACCGGGAATTAGAAAACCGTTATGAGGCTTAACTGCATTTATATAGCACTCAATGCGCTCCTCGTAAAGCCAACGAAGACGTGACACGTGGCGGTCTTCCAGTAGTTTTGTTGACCGAGTAAGAGCGAAAGACGGATTGGTTCATCTCGCTTCGAGTGTTTCAAATTACGAGACTGCCCCGGTAATTATAAACCAAAAATAGGCCTGAGGAATTCGTAAACAAAATGGGCCTGGGGTTACTTTAGCAAAATATGGACCTCCGAATTCAATTTTCTTTAATGGATGTTTGTATCCTCCTTATCGGTTAACTCAATTTGTGTATTGTGTGATTTGTGACTACTGACTACGTAATTCACACATTACATTATACATGTTACAAAATCCAGATCAAAATTTGAATTTACGGACTATAATCAAATCGTATATATATATTTACATTCATTCTTGTTTGACGCGTCTATACATATGTGAACATCTATAATGTTTATGTGTATAACTGTCTCCAACATCAATAGCAACGAGGTCTGTCCACATCCGCAATACACAGTCAGACCAATCTCGTTGAAGGCAGCATTTTCATAGGCAATAATCTTTTTACTCGGGACCATTCGTTGGACCAACCGACCGATTTTGCCTTTTGTTTTATATTTTCCTCGTAAGATTTTTGCCGCCAAAGGATAAAGATTTTCTGAATTTTGAGTGGCGACGTGGGTCCTACCTTATTCCATTGCAACGTGGGTCCTACGTTATTCCATTGAATAATTTGAATATACCATTGTTTTTTTTTTCTTTTTCAAATAACATATGTATATTCGGTCGGAAATGGACGTTTCTAGCAAATGCTAAATTTGTATGAACGGTGCAAAATAAATCTAGTTTGTTCTATATACCATCTTCGTTATTGTCTCACACTTTGGAATAACACTGGTAGTTCAGACCTAACAATGGACAATTCATTTTTTTTTCTGGAACTTTATGTTTAGTAAATATAAGACATAGTAGAATCCGAATACTGGCCACAATTTTGATGTGTATTAAAAAAATATAGTGCGTGGGATATGAACTTATATCTTATAAGAGCCTACCAAATTCAAAAATAAGAGTTGAAAAAAGCTGCAAATTTTAAACAGAGTAGCGAGGGAAAGTATAGACTACTCTTGAGGTTTGAACTCGAAAAGAATCAGTTTTTAAAGCTTGTTGTTTTCTTTTACATTACAAAGCAAATGATATACGTACATATATATTCCTGCATTTTGTTAAGTATACTTTTTTCGTGAACTATAGCTGAAAAGAAATTATTTGAATACATTTTTGTTGTTGTCTGGCTTCTATTCGAATACGTATTTGAAAAAGAAAAAAAAAAATCAAATGAGCAAGAGCAATGTTAGTTAAAATAGTCGTATCACGTTGGTCGAGAGGTGGTTATTATTATATGAATAACTTGTCACATTGGTATTTATGGTTATTATTAAATGACATATTTGTCACATTGGTATTCGTCTTGTGACCTAAAGAGGCGCTATTGATTAATTTGAATTTCCTTCCATGTATTTCATTCAATTTACTAATTTTATTTACATTTTACTAGGAAAAAATGTAGTAGTACATTTTAAACATTTAGGTTGAAAAGAAAGTGGAGTAAAGCGCCAAGAAAATCCAAAAAAAAATTAAAGTAAACGACTTGAAAGAATAAAATAAGTTTTAATAAATTTTGAAAAGTCTCGATAAATAAACCAACAGCTTAACAAATCAAACACAATTCCAAAATAGTCACCGCCCAAAAAAAAACAAAAGAAAAATCCTTTTTTTTTTCCTTTTTCTTTGAGAGAAAGAGGGAGAGGGAGACAACTTTGTTCTGGATAAAACACATCGATTTCTATTTTGTCTGCAAAATTCTCACGGGCGATCGGAGAGAGGAGACAGAGGTGGTGCACAAGAATCCTTCCCCGATTCTACACAAAAGACTTGTAAGAACCAATTCAATTTCTCAAAAACCTGGTGGTTCTATCCGTAAAATTGCTCGCAAAAACTCCATTTTTTTTCTTTCCTTTTTTCCCATTACTTCCCATCTTAATTTCAACTTTTACTTTTTGTTTTTGGGGAAAATTTGACTCTTTCTTATCTGGGTTGTTTATGCGTGTTGGTTTCACTTTTGAATCGTTCTTCTTCTGTGACTTTCTCTACAGTTTCCGCACCATTTCAGATTCGAGAATGTTCTAACTTTCAACCAATCTCTGTTCCTCACAATCTAATTTTGAAATGTCAGATGAAGAAAAAATTGCAAACTTTAACCTTTCCCTTTGTTTATATACCTGAGATCTTACGAATTGAATTGGGTTTTTGAGAGACTCTTTTGATATATATACAGTGGAATGGGAAGAGAAGTTGTTGAGGTGCTTGTGGACCGAAACGCCGACGTTTCGAGCGGTAGAGTTCACGTTGCTCCTAAGATAGCTGCAGAGGAGCCTGAGGAGGAATTTGAAGTCAAGGAATGCACCGAGGAGGATTCTCGTTCCCAGAACACACCAAAACTCGAAACTGCCGAGAGAATTGCACCTCAAAAATCCCCAAAAACCCCTAATGGAAATGCTAAAGTTTCAAAGGTATAAAACTAAATCTCACAAGAACTTGCTTTTGGATTTTTGGAACATTGGAAATATTATGTTGTATATACACGTTTGTTCGTGGTGTTTGTTTGCAGCCCGATGTTCCTCGGAAGCTATTGCAAGCCGAGAACAAGAAGCATATCGATGAAGATGATAATTGCTCCATTGCTTCTTCGTATCCTTGACCTTGCCTCTATCATATGATCCTTGTTGCTTATGTATGTACGCACTTGATACTTTAACAAAACCTATAAATGTTCCTTGACGATATATCTACTCACAGCGTGGCAACTTCCATGAGGATGGGTAGTAAGTTCGGAGTGACTCTCGGAAGTGCTCCAACGTTTAGGAGTGCCCAGCGTGCTGAGAAACGCAGAGAGGTAAAGTAAATGAAATCTCTGCTCAAGAGGTTGATTCATCTAAACTCATAATCTGCACTTAACTTGGGCAGTCTCGTATAAAGTTTATTGATTGATCTCTTTGTGTGGCTTAGTATTACCAAAAGCTCGAAGAGAAGAACCAAGCGCTTGAAGCCGAAAGGAACGAGCTTGAACAAAGGCAAAAGGTGAAGTGTACATGTTTTCCGGTTGATACAGTCTTTTCGGATTCTAAATGGGAAAAAAACTCAATGTTTTGCAGGAAGAACAAGAAGCAGCTTTGAAACAACTTAGAAAGAATCTCAAGTTCAAGGCTAAACCCGTCCCCAACTTCTACTACGAGGCGCCTCCTGCAAAACCTGAGCTCAAGAAGGTACATTTTCTAAGCAAAACTCTCTATTTGTTGTACAGAGCTCAGGCATTTGTTTTTGGGGACAAAATTAGCTTATGTTATGTATTATTTCTAGCTTCCTTTGACCCGTCCCAAGTCGCCAAAACTCAACCTTTCTCGGAGAAAAAGCTTCAGCGACGCAACCAGCTCGTCATCCCGTGAAGAGAATTTCAAGGCAGCCTCTAACCGGAACCGACACAGCACCGGAACAGTTCAGAATAAGAACAAGAACACCGATGTTGCGCAAGACAGCCCTCGTTTCAGATCTGGCAAGGGTAAAACCGGATTGAAACCAGTCAGCGAGTCCTTGGAAGAAGCTTGTGAGGCTTGATATGATGATGGTGAATGATGATGATGCTCTTTGTTGGTCTGTGTTTACTCTCAAACTAACTTTGATCGTACCGGAGAAAATTTAATATCAAAAACAAAAAAAGACCCTTTGTTATTTCAGTTATTTCCGGTATATGGCTGGTTCACAATGTAACCGTCTCGGTTTTAATTGTAACGCTGAAAAATTTATGTTGATTGTTGAAGAACTCCTAATGTTGAAATTTGTATATTTTGAGTGTTGTTGGATTATTTACGGATTGCTTCCGGTCAAGAGAAATAGAGAATCGTAACTAAGCCAAAATTTAATTTTCCCTTAAAATATCTAATCGATGGATGATTTTAATAGCTACATCTAACAAACTTATAACCAGTAGAAAGTAAAACCGGCATCAAACAATTAACCTAAACCGGTAATCAAATAAAGAAACCGACGAAAGTCCATAAACCTAACCAAACGCTAGCACCTTCTCGTCCACCGCTTGAACGATGACCACGGTGGCCCGAGCTACCACCACCGCCAAAAAACGGAAACCATGTTCCACCTCCTCTAGGCCTCCCTGAAACGCCTCCACCGCGTCCACCTCCGCCGAAACTGCGTCCACCTCCGCCGAAACTGCGTCCACCTCCGCCGAAACTACCCCCGCCACCCTTGTGAACAACGATAGCTAATTCCGTTGTTTTGCCAGCGAAAGCGTCACCATCCGGCTTTGATTCTACTGACTGGACCGGGAAATTGTCATGATTTGGATCAGCGATAGCTGAATCATGTGTTGTCGATCGCGAGATCACGTGAAGAAAGTGGTACTGGAGATGGAGAAAAATTAGAAAGTACAAACCCAAAGATGTTTTCCTAAAACTCATAATTGTGTTCGCTTTTCTGAGTTTTCCTCCCGTTTCCCTGTATCTTCTTTATTTATATATACCCAATTGTTTTGAACCGCCTTAAGTTAGTTAAATGTAAAATTTACATTAAAAATTAGTAGTGTTTGCCTTTTTACCTGTTAGAAAGATATATATTTGGTTTAGATATTACAAGGAAAAAAGGTTTAGATATTAGTTAAAAGTAGTGTTTACTGTATTAGATTTTTATAAAGTTTATAATGAAGATTAAGGAAAAAAGGATAAAACAGTAATTTTGGATTCCTAAAATTTTAAAAGATAACAGATAATCTCATTCAGCATTTATCTTTGCCTCCCTCCAAAATTCAACCATGGCCACTTCTTTAATCCCTCTGTCATCTTCATTTCTTCAACCTCTGAAATTCAAAACCCTAGCTAAACCCAGAAACCCTGATCTATCCACCACCAGAAAAATTGTAACAACCTGCGATTCCCAGAAAAACACAGGGTCGTCAAACCCCAGCAGCAGAAACCCTAATTTCCAGAAACGGCGAAAATCCTCCAAGTATGGAACTTCTAGAAGGTCGATCCTCAAGAAATCCTTCTTACAAGAACAGGTTACTTTCACCGCTCGGTTATCTTCCGACCCCCACGTGGCGATTATCGGTGGCGGAATGTCCGGTCTGGTCTGCGCACTGAACCTGGAAGCTCGTGGCGTCCAATCCACAGTTTTCGACACGGTTCGTCTGTTTGTTTCCTCTGGAAACTTTCTTTCACTGTTTCTTATTCTCAAATTTGTGGTTTCTGGGTGATGTTTATGTTGCAATTTCACTTCAAAAAATTCGAGCTTTTTGGGTTAAAATTAGTAAATTTCTGGCTGGAGAAATCAATTAAGACTGACTCTCTTGTGTTTGCGTTAATGTCACAAACGCAGGGGATACATGGGTTAGGAGGAAGGCTTGGAACAAGGATTATTGAACCACAGGGGCTGGTTTTCGATCACGCTGCTCAGTTCTTCACGGCGAATGATTCTCGGTTTATCCGATATGTCGATGGGTGGTTAGAGAAAGGACTTGTTCGAGAGTGGAATGGTGTTGTGGGAGAGCTTGAAATTGGCGGCAGTTTCTCACAGTTTCCTCCATCGTCACCTCCAAGATACATTGCTGTTAATGGCATGCGATCTCTCGCTGATTCATTGCTTCTAGAGGTGCTGACATGTTATCTCTTTCCAGCAAAAGATTGGGCCTTTTTAACAAAATTTATGAGCTGAAGCAACTAATAGTCGTTGATTTTTTTTGTTGCAGAGTCAAATGGTGAATTTGGTGAGGCCTTGTTGGATTAGTAAGCTGGAACCACTTAATGGAATGTGGCATTTGAGTGAGAACGGAACACCTCGTGGTCAGTTTGATGTGATTGTCATTGCTCATAATGGTAAGCAGCGTATCTGTATCACTTTTCCTAGCTTCAGGTGCTTCGTTATACTGTATCTTCTTTTGTTCATACAAAAATGGTTCACCTTTTTGTTCAGGTAAATGTGCGAATCGTTTGCTTTCTGCATCAGGCTTGCCCCTAGTTGCTAAACAGATGAAGGTAGGCAATATCTAGCAAAGCCAATCTTTGTAAACCTTTTTTTGATGACCTCTTCTGATACAATCCTCATTTTTGTTGGTTCTAGAAACTGGATCTGAGTTCCATATGGGCGCTATTAGCAGCTTTCGATGATCCTCTCCCCGCAGTGAACTTCGAGGGAGCGTTTGTGAAAGGAGTCGAATCATTGTCTTGGATGGGAAACAACTCTGCAAAGCTTGGAAATGTTAAAACTCCACACTGCTGGACTTTCTTCAGTACCGCAGCATATGGGAAACAGAACAAAGTTCCTCAGGTTTAGTTTCTTTAACAAACTTTACAACATAATCTCAAAACTGCAGAAAAATCAAATGGTTCTCCTTCCTCTTTTTTTATTTCTCGTAGGAAAACATCCCAACTGTGACATCGGAGAAAGTTAGAGCTGGGATGCTTCATGGTGTGGAAATCGCATTAGGCTTGCCTGAAGGCTCGCTTCCTAAACCGGTTTATACGCGTCTCCAGCTATGGTAAGTAAAAGAAACTTGTATTAACGGTGTTGAAATGTTTGAAAGACTTTTTGGAGTGATTCCGGTTTCTTGTACAGGGGAGCAGCTCTTCCGAAGAACACTCCTGCAGTTCCATGTATATTTGATCCACAGGGCCGAGCTGGTATATGCGGTGACTGGCTTCTCGGTTCTAACTTAGAATCCGCAGCCTTAAGCGGTGAAGCCCTCGGAAACCATGTAAGAAGCTTTCTATATTGACTCGGTTGTGTTCTTGTCTTAGTTTGCGGATTGCAGAAGAAAAGATGACAAATGTTTTTTTCGGGGTCATTTTGCTCCTCGTTTTCTTTGCCTGCAGATTGCGGATTTCCTGCAGAAAGGTGAAGCTAACCCGGAAGAGTTTGAAATCGGTTTACATGATAGGTTAAGTCCTCTTGCTGGCCATGATATTGGGCAGTTTCCTGGTTTAACATCGGTGGGAGAGAAGGAAGAAGCTAAAGCATATCAACTTCTGTGAATACATCAGTCTACTGTCACTTGATCCAAGATTCAAGATGCAAAACCCCCATCGATGCTGATTGTTAGGTTTGCAAAGCTCACACCAGTTACAGACGTTACAGTTTCAGCTTTATGTACTACAGTCAACAAAGTATTTTTTTTGTTTGGCTTGGGGGGGGGTAAAAATTAAAAAGAAACTCCGAATCGGATTTTGTCATAAGTTCAAAACAAAGAGGTTTTATTTGCAAATGATCTAAACATAAGGTTTAAGAATCCTAAATATAGGCCTGTTTTTTTTTTTTTTTTTGACCATTGCAAAAATATTTGTATCATGTTTAATAAAATGATAATTTAAGCATAAATTAGAAAGAAAAATAAAGGATAAAATCTTGTACTTTTTTTTAACTTTCGAGTTATAAATAGATATCCCTCACTTTTCTAAATAAGGATAATATATTTATCGATTTAGGAGATTTGCAAATAAACCCCTCACTTTTCACGGCCATTCCAATTCCTCCCTCACTTTTTCTATATAATCGGTAATGATAATGGTATCAGGGCTGAGTGAAAAACAAACAAGGAATATAGGGCCATGAAAAGGGTCAGGAGGGAAGAGACCATCGGGAACAATCGACAATGTGAAGAAAGCGATAAGAAGGATCCGTTTTCGATACTTCCTATGGATCTGAGAGTGGAGATTCTCCTGAGAATCCCGGCCAAGTCCAGAGCCAGAATGGTCTTGGTTTCAAAACAATGGCTATCGATGCTCTGCGGCAAAGATCTCACCAATTTGTACCTGGCTCGTTCTTCGACTCGGAAGCGTCTCCTTTTCGCAGTCTGCCGTACCTACGTGCATGAGATGTTCTTACAATCAATCTCCCAAAAGGACCCATCAAACTCTGAAGATCATCATAAGGTAAACATACCTCGGCATCCGAGACGTTTGTATGCTTTCTCTCCACCCGTCCGGGGCTTGATCTGTCGTCAAAATGATAGCATAGTGATGATTGGGAACCCTAGCACGGGCCAGTTCATAACTTTGCCCAGAGTCAAAACTAGGAGAAGAGGTTTACTCTCCTTTTTTGGATATGATCCTGTGAATGATGTATACAAAGTGTTGTGCATGACGGTGCTACAAGTTCGTCAACAACGTGGATCCCAAGTTGTGTCGGAGGAGCACCAGGTTTTTACCCTAGGAGCTAAACAGAAATGGAGAATGATCGGATGTAAGCATCCCCACCTTCCTCCTTGTTTGACTAAAGGGATATGCATAAATGGGGTTGTGTATTATTATGCTTGGATCAAGAATGAAGGATCTTTGGTGAGCTTCGATCTGATATCCGAAGAGTTTAATGTCATAAAGTTACCTGAGGATTTCCGATTCCTTGTGAACTACAACGGAAAGATAGCTTTAGTGAGTCGGTGTACAGTTACACTTGACATGTGGGTTCTAGAAGATGCAAGTAAACAAGAATGGTCAAAAGTTTCTCTCTCTCTTACGTCTTTGATGGATTTAGGTGGCGATCATCAAGGATTATACTTCAGGGGTGCACTTAGTACCGGCGAGCTTATATTTTCACCTTACTCTTTCACTACCTCGTTTTATTTTATCAGTTATGATCTCAAGTCACACCACGCCAAAAAAGTTGTGGTTGAAGAAATTGGAGATCACTTATCTGAGATCCAAGTCTATGTGGATCACATAGAGAGTCCTATGTTTCTGCCAAATCTAAGTTAATCCTTATTAGATTCTCATTTAAGATCTAGCTCTGACAATTAATACTAGTTTTGTGTGGAGCTGGCTGACAAGCAATTTGATTTTCTTATTTGATTTACTTTTGAAGAGGAAAAAACAGTTTTTGTCTTGGTTAACTTGAATCTTTATCATCATTTAATTTTCCTTTTTTTGAGCTTTTATTTCATAAAGATTGTTTCGATGTAATGTATGTGTTAATGTTTCTTCGGTTGATTCGGATAAGCTCACGTAGGCTTTTTTTATCTATTTAACATCCCATACATGCAAATCCCTAAATCTAGCGTGGAGAATGATCTATCAAACGTAAACATCCCCATACACAGTTTTCTTAGACAGCGTGGAGAATGATCAAATGTAACCTTACGCTTGTCCTGTGGGTTCTGGAAACAAAATGTGGTCAAAAATTTTTGTCTTGCTCTCCTTCTTGGACAGATTTAGGTTTCAGGAGTGCATTTGTCTACAGTAACTTGATCAAGAAGCAAGAGACATTGATGCAAAGGAAGTTTTTATTATTTTAGAAAGTTGATGCCTTCTTCGTTGGTGGCGACCGGTTTGAGATGTGCTGCTATATGAAACAGAAATTCGATTAGAAGCAGTTGAATTTCATCTGAAAGTTTTGTTTAGCCTCTGCTGTTGTTTGTGACGAAATTTAATCATAATTAAAGTTTTCCATCTCAACAAAATAAACAAATGAGTATTTTCTGTTAAAATTTCAAAATAGGAGGTTTTATTTACAAATTCTTAAAATATTAACGCATAACTGATAAAGGAATTGGTATCGATCGCAGGCGTGGAGAGTTATATTAGGCTTGAGAAAGAGAAGTGATTAGGGTTAATTAAGAGCCAAAAGAATGAAACAGTGAAGACGGAGTTGATAATCGCCATGAAAAGGGTCAAGAAGAAGCCTAAGAAACGAGACGAAAGGAATGAAAACGACCCGTTTTCGATTCTTCCTCTGGAACTGAAAGTAGAGATTCTCATGAAACTGCCGCCGAGATCCATAGCTAGGCTCCGTTTCGCTTCAAAGCACTTGTCATCGATAATCCGCGGCAAAGATTTCACCGAGTTGTACATGACTCGATCTTCGACTCAGCCGCGTCATCTTTTCTCAGTCTACCGTGGCGGCGACATGCCGTTCTTTCACTCCTGCTCTCAGGAGGACCCGTCAAATTCTGATCATCACGATAGGGTTTGTTATACTCTGAAATCGGATGCACGGTATGGATTTTCTCCACCGATCCGCGGCTTGATCTGCGGAAGAGACGGCACTAAAGTGATGATCGGAAACCCTAGTACGGGTCAGTTCGTATCGCTACCAAGAATCAAAACGAGGAAAAAAGACATACGATCTGTTTTTGGATATGATCCAGTTAATGATGTCTACAAGGTGTTGTGCATGACGGTGAAAACTTTACGTGGACGAGAAGCTGGAACATTTGATTATATGCCTGGAGATGTTATGGCGGAAGATATGGTGTCAGAGGAGCATCAAGTTATCACTCTAGGAGCTAAACAAAAATGGAGGATGATCGAGTGTAAGTATATCCATCGTTATTATTCTGGATCCCAAGGGATATGTAGGGATGGGGTTGTGTATTATTTAGCTGCTATCAACTCTAAACGATCTCTAATGAGCTTCCATCTGGGATCTGAAGAGTTTAATGTCACGAAGCTACCAGATGATAATACGCTTCAACAGTTTGGTAATCTGGTGAATCACAGTGGAAAGATAACCATAGCGAGTGGGAGATCTAACGGACCAATCGACCTATGGGTTCTTGAAGATGCCAAGAAAGGAGTATGGTCAAAAGCTGCAGCCGTGGTTCCTTCTGTGGCAGATATATGTGGGAGGGATCAAAGGTTCATGTTCAGGGGTTTACTTGCTACTGGCGAGATCATATTCGCACCGCTTCCATCCCCTAACCCCTTCTTTTTCCTTTGTTACGATCCCAAGGCCCAAAACGCTAGAAAAGTTGTCATTGAAGGAATTGGAGATGATTCTGCTCATATCCAAGTCTTTTTCGACCATGTTGAGAGTTATATGTCTATGTGAAAGGTAACGAGTTGGTGATCTTTTGATGAAGCCTGGGTTTACATTAATTTTGGTTTCCTTTTGAGCTTTGTTTCATGAAGAATGTTAACTATGTGTGTGTACGTGTGTTAAATATTCTCCGGTTGATTCGTAAGTCACAGTTAACATGGAAGTCTCATCGATACATCGTTCAACATGCTTCCTCGCAACAATTTAGGAAAAAGAGCTATTGTATTGGCTCTTGGATCTTCATCATCATTTTGGTTTTTTTTTATAGCTTTTATTTCATAAAGAATGTTATTTTGACCATGTTTGTTTGCTGAATCTGTCTAGTTATGAAAGTTTCTATTCCCTTTTTCGCTCAGCTGTTTTGTGTTATGTGTGTTATAGCATGAATTTACTGTTACTTGATCAAGAAGAAAAACACATTGATGGCTTGATGCAGACAAGTTTTTGCAAAACCGAAATAGTAAGGAACAGCTGAATCTGTCTAGTTACGAACAAATGTGAATCAATCCTTTAATGACTAGCTTTTTGGTAAACTAAATTTTCCTTGTTACTGTGAATTGTGTGACATCTTATTATTTATCAATGGCATAATATGATTGTATGCTAGTCGATTATGCAACCAAATAAGTTATAGTCATGTCTTGGACTAAGTTGATCGATCGTAGTTCATGATAACATTTTGTCACATGGATTTTTTTGGGGACCGAAAAAGAAAGACGATTTATATTTGGGCATTTTCTGTCAAAAATTATAAAATGAGACCCCAAACCATCACAAGAACACAGGGGAAGGAAGGTTGGGGATTTAGGAAGAGGAAGAGGAAGAGGAATGTAAATCGCCATGAGGAGGTTCAAGAGAAAGAAGAAGACGATTGGGATCATCCGAGACGATTCTGAGACAGGAGACGAATTGAATAAAAACGATTACATTTCATCTCTTCCTCTCGATCTCATCATAGAGATTATCGCGAAACTGCCGCTAAAATCCATACCGGAGCTCGTATTCGTCTCTAAACGCTGGTCAGCTATCGTACGAGGGAAGGATCTCACCGACTCTTTCATCTCCCGTTCTTCGTCTCGGCCAAGCCTTCTGCTCACACTCGGAAACCACTTCATCCGGGGATTTCACTGGTGCTCTCAGGAGGATCCGTCTTGTGGTAATCGCAGAACGCTCATCCCTCGAGATCCGATGTTCTATTTTTTCACCCCCGTCCGCGGCTTGATCTGCGGCGAAGCAAGATCCGACGATCTCTGGATCCTCGATCTAGCAAGATACGACTATGTTTCTCCCGTGGTTTGCAATCCCAGCACTGGTCAGTTTCTAACTTTGCCCAGAGGCCCAAGACTCAGAACCAACGGAAGATGCCCCGATACCCTGACAAGCTTCCTTGGATACGATCCGGTGAACGATGTGTACACAGTCTTGTGCATGACCACACCGTACGATTATGGACAGGTTTTTGTATCCCAAGAGCATCAAGTTTTCACTCTAGGACGCAAAACATGGAGACGCGTCCGGTGCAAACAGCCGCATTGTCCTGCTACTGACTCTCTATGTAGAGACGGTGTTATATATTATGGAGCTTGGTACGACAGTCACGAGGAAAGATCTCTCTTGATGAGCTTCGATCTGCGATCTCAAGACTTTGGTGTTACTGAGTTACCTCCGGGTGTGAACATCCTACATTTTAGACACACTGCGTTGGTCAAGTACCACGAGACAGTAGCCTTAGTGGATCGCTCACGCACTGGTGATTTTGACTTGTGGGTTTTAAAGGATGCCAAGAAACACAAGTGGTCCAAGATCTCCGTCTTGCTTCCTCTTGTTGAAGGGAATGACGCATTCAAGTGTAAGGGTACCATTAGCACCGGGGAGCTGATCTTTGCGCCGCCATGGAATGCTATGCCCTACTTTATCCTCTATTACGATCCCAAGGAGAAGAGTGTTAGAAGAGTTGATATTAAAGCTATTAGAACTCTTTTTGGTCCTACCGAGTGCCATTTGGATCATGTTGAGATTCCATTGTTCATATCAAGGTAATTAATCCGTTGATAATAGCTAGTTTTCTGGTGTTCCCGTAACTACTTTTCGTTCAAGTCTCATGTAAGGTACTAGTATTAGTAAGACAAAGTCCTTATTTTGCAGATGTGTAATGCTTTATTTTATAAATAAATGTTTTGTGGTTATGTGTATATATGTTTCCACATTGTTTCAGATTCTGATTTCTCAAAACCATGGAACATATATACTTTCATTTCTCAAAATTCCTGCTCTAAACTTTATCTTCAAGACTTAGAATTATAGAAAACTGTTGCCTGGCACTGCCACAGAATCCGAGTTCACAAGTTGCTCTTATAACTCATGTCAAAGTGAAATATACAATTGCAAATCACAGCCACAAAAGACCAGTTTCTTGAATCTAATACACTGTTGAGAAAAGACTGGATATATTTTCATCAGGTGTGAGCAGATTGTGAAGACAGTATTCTTGAATGGTTATGTTCGCCTTCGTAAGTCACAATTAACATGGAAGTCTCATCGATACATCGCTCCACATGCTTCCTTGCTGGACAACCTCTCACACTGCTGCATTTGTAGTATCCCCTGCAAATGAAATGCAAATTAGATCAAATGGACACAAACTTTAGAGGAATCTTGCACCCAAAAAAAAAGATGAATGTACCGTGGATGTGGTGAGCCCTTTATCGGTTTCTGTCCGTATTTCCTCCATGAATACTCGTCTGGAGGAATATCCGCAATCTTGTTACTAATTGCAGGCACCTTGATTGATCGTTTCACCCTAAGTTTCCTGTAAATAAACTCAAACCATTAACAAAGAGATACAAGTAGAAACAATCATCGGGTCGATCACATAACCACAGAAAGAAAATGACAAACCTTTTCTTGGAACAATGACATTTGCTTCGACTTCCGCATTTCAAACTACCAGAGCACATCTTCCTGGATATCTGGTCAGGCCCACGGGACAGTCCGGTTAAATGGAACGAGTTCCTGTCGTAGTCCGCATCCATACTAAGAGATGACACAAACGATCTCGACCCGTTCGAGACACTCGGTGTATAGCAACTGCTACCAGATCCGTCGAACTTGAGGTTTACACCGCTATTGCTCCTAGAGTAAGCTATCTGCTGGTGGTTGTGGATTAACTGATAAGGAGCTCGAAAAGGCGGTGGCTTTAACTCCAGGAACGACTTCTCAGCACACATTTTGTGACTCAGCATCGATGAAGGATGACCCAATTGGTGTTTTGTTGGGTCAAGCTCGTCATAAGCAGCTGAAGCTGGAACCATCCGAAGAGGCTCTGGCGCAAGAACTTGAGTGTAGTCACTACAGCAAATAGGACTCTCCAAGAAGATATGTTGAGGAAAAGATGACCTAAACTTGTTGTTGCTTCTTCTAAACTTTCCATGACCTGATGACCCTCTGGTTAGAAGAGAGGCTACTCTCTTGAACTTGCAAACTGCTTCTCCTGTTTCTTTGAGCATGAGAGATTTGGAGTCACTGGTTTGTTGTGACAAGAGATTTAAAACTCCATGACAGCTTTCTATAGCTAATTTGCTAGCAGCTTCAACTTCCTCCATTTTTTTTTCTTTTCCCCTTAAGCTTTCAGATGAGAGAACAAGAAAACCCAAACTCCTCAATTCACAAACTAAACTAACACCAGAATCTCACGAGACTCGAGAGAATCATATCAAACACAGAACCTAAAAAGCCTTGCAAAGTTGGAAATCTGCAACCTATAACTAAAGATCCCAAAATCGAAATCCTAGTGAATCTAAACCGATAAGACATGAAGAAGAGTGTACATGTAAAGCTAATTAGATCCAATCCAAGGCGCGTGAAAAAAAACCAGAACTCAACCCCTAAACATCCTATGAGTAAACCAATCACCAATAAGCTTCTTACTTCAAATGTTGAATCTCTCCAAATCACTTCAAAGGAAGAGTGCTAAGTAAAACCGAAACTCCCTCAATTCAAGAGCTAAAAGATGAGATCCTTTGCCTATGCCCAGACCAGAAAGATGAATCAGCTCATGAGAAGGAAAAAGAAAAGAGAAAATCCTGAAATTTCAGAGCTGAAAGAAGAAATGAGATCCTTTTGAACACCCCAGAAGATAAAATCAGCTCATGAGCAAGAAGTCACCGAGGAGATTAGGATAAAATAAAAGAGAAAGATTGTTCCTGTGTTGTTTGTTTGTTTGTGAGAGAGAGATGTTGAGAAAAGTGTCAAAGGTTATGACTTTTGCTTTCTTTCACTTTGCGGGTGGGGAAGAGTTAGACTTTGCTTTTACTAAAAATTCCCCCACCACCATTAACATTTTAAATACACCAAAATTCAGCCCTTTCATTTTTAAAAACAAAAAGCTAAAGTTGTAATAATATTACAGTGAAGACATCAGAGCAGAGAGGTGGTCGTCGCAGTCTCAGAGGAGAGAAATAAAAAAACAGAGCCCTCTGTTAAAGATTTCTAGGTGGGGCCCCTACTAGTGGACCTACTTCGTACCTACTATTTTCGTGCAAATTTAAAATGAACCGTTTTTAAAAAAAAAAATAGATAATCATAAAATGTAGCCTAGCATCTTTTTTATATTCGGATGTGATTAATTACAAATTATTTTAAAGTAAAGCAAAAATTAATAAAAAATTAACGACATTAAAAAGAGAGAATGGAATAGAGTTCACACCTGCTTTTTTCATTTAAAAATAATATTTTAGATTGATCAAGAGAATTTTTTGTACTACATTGATATATGTTGAAAAAAACATAATATTTGAGATCTCCTATGCTGGATATATATTTCTTTATTTTTATATGATTTTTTTCCTTCACATCAAATTTTGTATACATAATTTATAAGTATTTCAAAATTTTCATATGTAAGTGTTTTTACGCACAGTCCCTTCCGTAGACCTCATGAAATGGCCCAGGGAAGAAAAAAAGACGTCAATTGTGGACCCACGTGTCTCCTTGCGATTTCGAATTCCGAGCACGTAATTGGCAAAATAACGGTACAGATTTCAACACGTCTCTTTAGCACGTTGTACATCGATTGTTGTTGACTGGCTCTATTTTTTTTTGTTTATTACTCCTCTGTTGTTGTTGGGTGTTTTATTTTAGCCTATATATTCTTGTTCAATGATCTTCACAAATCACAGTGATAAGTGAAATATTTAATATACAGTACGTATTTCATATTTTGATATATTCAAAACTAATTGTTCTATCAAGACTTCCAATAAATATAGTATTAAAAATAGTAGTAATATGATTCGCAGTTGATTATAAATTTATAACACTTTACGTTTTAGACCTTTATTATACCTCTTCAAACTTGTATTCCTAGGAGTATCACAAAACAGATTAATTATCACCTCTTTAGGAAAAAGCAGAAGAAAAGAAAATTGAATGCAGCTTTGAGTAGACAGAACATCCCTAATATTCTTGAGATCCTATTCTTATTTCCAACAATACAACTCAAGTTAATAAGTGTGATAGTTATCTAGTTTAATTAACAAAAAAAAAAAAATCAAAGGCGGCTAAAACATCATATCATATTATTTTCTCATTTCTCCCCCTTTATAGAATCACATAACAAAAGAATAACCTTAATCTTATCCACAACAACAAATTTTCAAACTCGGAACCTTGAGATGTAAGAAAAAGGCTACAGTATCTGTGTAGTTAAAGTTACATGAAATAGCGAATTTGAGTGCTGCATCATTCTCTTCTCTTAGCACTCTTAGCAAACAACATGGCTCTCTCTTGTCTAATTTAATCATCTTCTTGCTTCTAATGACTCAAGCCACGACAAAGATCCAGCGACCAAGAACTTGCTGGGCAATGCCCCAGGCGATGGTGCTAAATACGTTATCTTCTTCCTCTGCACATCAACTTCCGTCACACACACAAACCCAGATACATTGCTGCATACAAAAGAACCAGACAGAAGGAAAGAAACATCAAAAAACGCAAAGAAAAAAAACACAAGCATTTGACTTTCGAAACAGTAAGAACTTTTTGAGAGTACCTTGAGACGATCTGGTCTGGCTCTTCTGCATGTGAGACAGCGAGAACAGAATGGAGCAGGCCCCGATCATCGAAATTTACAGGCGTTACCTTCAAAGGATTAGAAACCGGGTCAGACCCGATTGGAAGAGCTGATCTTGGAGCTTGTGGTCCACCACCAATGCGGAACACTTGCAGATCACTGAAGCTCGATGTATTGGAATACGGGGAGAGTTCTTTCGACAGACCGTAGAAATATTCCTGCAATAAATCAAGTTGCCGAGTTCGGTAAATTTCGCTTCTAAAAAGGGTCATGAAAGTATATGAAAGTGAGAATATTTACCCGAATCCTACAAGTCCTTGCTACTTTACGGGCGTCACGGCTCCTAGCTACAACTCCACCTGATTTGTGAAGTTTCACGACGTCGACATTACTCTTACTTTTCAGCACATCTTTAAGCATGCTGAAGAGCTTTTCCTGACCCAATACAAGCACAACCGAGGCGTTGAATGTGTCGATCGCGTGGAGAAGCAGCTGCAAAAACAAACCGTTCTTTAATTTAAAGAAACTATGCTAAAAAGGAGCTGACTTTACAAGAAAAGGAGATAGCTTTTTTACCTCGTAACCGATACCATCGATCCATCCCATTGTGTTGATCACCATTCCAGCGGCTCGAGACTCAGGGCTTCCCAGAGACTGTCTCTCCAGCACTTGTGCAAGCTCTTTCACCAGAGTTTTGTACAGTTCAACGTTGTTACTGAGAAGAATAACGATAGCCAAAGTCTTTATAAGTCATTCGTTGAGAAAAATAACGATGGGGAAGAGAAAATTTGAGAATTACTTACTCTGCCGAAACGTGGCCGTAGTAGTACACGAGGGCCATATCCAGAGATACCCCTTCCACTGGATCCAATGGCATTTCTATAGGTGTAGCGGCAATAGATCCTGGTATTGTAATCGAGCCTTGGCCAATATCAAGATCTACAAATGTAGGCTTCCATCCTTGTTTGGCTGCCCAACTAAGAAGCATCTTTGTCAATGTGCTCTTTCCTGAATCCGCAGGCCCTACTACGATAACCCGAGGTCCCTGCAACAAACGGATTCTTGAGAATCAAGTGTTTCGATTCGATCATATCGCATACAACAATAAGATCATCAAAAGAGGAGTATACCTGAGTAGATTCTGAGTCAGTAGATGTGGAAGCTTTGGCAAAACGTCTCCTTGCGTCTAGTATGGCGTGCACATTGACGTAGCTGACCATTGGCGTCTAGAGAACCGAGACATTGTAAGTAAAAAGATTTTGCGCTAAATAATCTAAAAGGAAGCGTGGAAAAATGAAACAAGAACCATACCTCATCTGCTGTATAGTCAGTTTCCGTGACACCATCAATCTCAATTGTTGCTCCATACCAGGTGAAAACCTGACAAGAATCAAAAGGCAACACATGGTTTCAGAGCAATGATCTTCAACTTTAAAGAAATAGTTACCACAAGGGAAATACACCAAAGAGAAAACTCGGCAGAACCAACATATCTCCTAAAGATTATATACAATTCTATACGAACTAACTTAACGATTCTATAAACTACGCAAATGAATCTGTCATATTACTGCCTAAAGGCTAAAGCTTAAGTCTTTCATTCAACCCATGAAGCCCAGGGGATAGCAACTCAAGAAATAACTTAGAGAAAGATAATCATAAGAGAAACTCAATCGAGAAAACCAAAAGTTTGCTACCAAAAAGCTCATCTGATCTAATAGTCAAAACCACAATGCTTGTAATCGCTCTACAGAAGAAGAAAAAACATACCGCGAATTTGAGACGAGGAGGGAAGGTACGCCAGATTTCAGGAGGCAGTTCAGAGCCGAAAATCTCAGCCGTCCCGTTCACCACACGGAGCCTGAGAGGCTCGTCAGAGACTTCGATCCTGAGTTCGCTTTCTCTCTCCAATTTCACCTGTTTGAGATTACCACTTGACCCAGAAACCGCGCCAATCATAGCAGGTGGATTCATCGACGGACCACCGTAAGACATGCTTTCACTCCGAGTATGAGAGATTTGCCTCGCTCGGAGTAATAGAAGCAAATAGGTGTATAGCCAAGTTTCTCGCTGCAAAGAACTGGAAACAAGAAAAAAGTCTTAATTTTAAGAAAGGAAACAGAGAAGAAAGAGATGCAGACTTGGCTAGATTTACACCCCAATTCGAATTATATCGCGCAACAAAAATTCAATTTTCCAAACAATCAATTATATAAGAACACTAATTACATAAACGCAAGGGAGATAGTAACTAATAGCAGAGAACAATCATATCCAAGAGAGAGAGAGTTATATAAGAGAACAGTAAGTGAGAAAGAGAGTATCTAAAGCGAGAGCCATTGATCTCAGTATCCACAAATTGAGAATGAGAGAGAAAGAGAAAAGACAAATTACCGGAAAAGCTTCAACGGCGAGAAGCGGACGACCGTGAACGGAGAGACAATGGCGATTTGACGGGAGAGGAAAAAAAAATCAGGAGGAAATACGGCAACAAGTGTGTTCTGGGAGAGAGTAACAGAGAAAAGACTTATGAAATCATTCAGCTTAGGGTTGTATCGCTTTTTAATGTGGATTTTGTTTCCATTTTCGATAAGGGCAAAATTGGAAAATACAATTATTCCCGCTTTTGTCGTTTTTAACCGCGATTGCCATTTTTCATTCCCTCCAATTTTTCCGGAATAATAATATTTAGCTTACGGTAAACTCAAATTGAAAAAAATATTGGTTTCATCCGACAAAAAAGTTAACACCGAAATTCTAACTAACGAATCCATACAAATTCTAATTAATAATTTTGTTAGACTATTAAAAAAAATACCCCACTCGAAATAAATGAAAAAATCACTACAGGTATTCAGTAACAAAAAATTTAAAAACTATGAACACTAATTTTTTTTTGTCTCTCATCAAAATTAGAAAAAATGGTAATGTAAAAGTTGTGAAAAGACTTTATCGTCCTTTAGGATTTACAATCTGAGAGAATATTCCGGCGTTGTCTTCGGAGGAAAGACCACTTACGTCATGAACTCATGATCTTCGCCTCTTCCACCGAAGTTAACCGCCACCATACCTCCTCCGCCGACATCCTCTGGGCTCCCTCTGTTGTTTGGAGTTCGGTGACGAGTTCCATCGGCAGTTTCCTGAAGCTGAAGCGCGAATTCGAGATTCCACAATACGTCCCCCATCGTCGGTCGTTCTAATCCAACTATCCGATAAACACTTCTCTTTCCGTTTGCAATTCATTGCCCAATCTCCGAGGCTTACTTGTTTCTTGGGCAAGCTAGAGTTAAGATCTCGAATAGAACAACCCCGAAAGAGTATACATCTGATTTTCTCAGTCAATTGCTGTCTTCTGAAGTACTCTGGACCCAAATAACCGAAGCTGCCCTTGACGACGGTTGTCACATGGCCTCCGTTCATGTCAGGTCCGGTTTTGGATAATCCAAAGTCGGAAACTTTCGCTACCCAGTTCTCATCTACCGGAATGTTAGTGGTTTTTACGTCTCGGTGTATAATCGTGTATTTTGCTCCTGTGTGAAGGTAATGTAGGCCTCTTGCAGCTCCGATGCCGATCTCTAGCCTTCGTTTCCAAGTTAATTGTGGTTTCTTCGTGTTGTAGAGATGCTCACGGAGTGTTCCAAGCGCCATGAAATGGCAAATGCGACACATTTCGCCTCCGTCGTCGCAGTATCAGATCAAGGACAAGGGCACCAAGTGCTTGTGCCTTAGTCCTTGTTCTGAGTTTGGGTTTGATCGTTTAATCGCCACTTTGGTTGTGCCGTCTATAACTCCTTTGTGGACTTTACCAAACCCTCCAACTCCAATGACGTTTGAATCATCGAAGTTTTGAGTTCCGTGTTTGATTTCGGGCAAGGAGAATCTGCGGCATAAACCTGCTGCAAGATTAGATAGGTGGCTTCCATTGGTGCTCTTCCCTGAGATAGTTGATTTGGTTCCTGATGTGGTAGAGTTTCCATATAGAGGAAGCCAGCTTGATGATGTGTGAGAGTCGCATCAAGAGAGTACCATCATTAGCTGCCACAGCGAAATACGAGCTGGAAATGTTGAGGCCGGTGTATGTTGATGGGTGGAAATGTAACCGGAGCAAGTGTCTTTTGTCTCCTTTAACCGGGATTTCATAAGCTGCTGGAACTTTTTTAAAGATTCTGGCTGTCATATAAGGAACCGTATAGAGAAGAGAAGGATCTTAATACGTAGCTGTTGCGTGGATAGAGTTTCCAGTCTTTAGAAACTCTGTGTCTGGTTCCCATTTTTTCTTGGCTGGGTCAGTAGAAGCTTCTGATGACCCACAACTCAACGCAATATCCTGACCGTTAGATCTAGTTGGAGAAACCAGGAGAACAGAGAGACACAAGAGGAAAAAATGATGCAATTTTTCCTGTTCATGTTCATCAACGGGTATATACTTTTGTGTCCCAGCTTCTTTTTGACCTAAACTCATAACAGGACTTGCCTGAAAAAGACCAGTACGCTCCTCTGTTTTGTTCTATTTTCTCGCCTTGTCTTGTATGTTTTTCTCTGCAATGAGGTTACTAGTGTTGGTGTTATCCCATTCTCTATTGTTTTGTGTAACAGATGAACAGAAGGAGTTAGAGAATCCATGGAGGGGAGGATTAAGCGAACAAACTATGTTTAGCAAATGGTTAGATAAATTAATAAGACTTTATTCCTTTTCACTACAACATGAATTCAATTGATCTAAATATAGAGAAACTCGTAAACCATATTGTTTCAAAAATTTGTTAGAAAGTTTTGAAATTATGACTTGATCGAGATATAGACTAGGATCATATATCTGTAACCCTTTTTTGGAATGGTCAAAGGTATAAAACAAAGAAAGTCCTAAAAATCTGGTTGAGTCAATCATCAAAATCAAAACAATGGAGGATAATAGCTTTGGACTCTATCCGTTGGATAGGTCAATGGTGGAAACTAGTTTGGTATCCTCCATTAAAGCACCTCGAGTCTCCTCAAAGTTTATCTGGTCGGGTTGGGCAAAATCCAAGTAGAGAAAGGGCATAAAGAAAGAAGAAATCTGATCAACCCGACCCGTTTTTTAACTTCTTTGTTGGCCGCGTAGTATGTTCGCACGCGGCCATCACACAAAGAACATACATTAAAACAAAACAAAAAAGCTTAAAGCTTTGATTAATCTCTTAAAAGGGGTCAATAAAACCATAAAGAATAACCCATATTTGCATCCACAAGCCACCTCTTCGTGACACATTAGCTTCCGGTCACCGGAACATATTAAAAAAAAAATGGTGAGAAGAAGAGAAGGGCTTACATTGCCAATCTTAAGACCGGCACTTCCCGAGGTTAGAACAGCAGCAACAACGCCAGATGCCACACATAAACCAAAACAGCGGTTATCGAAACAACTATCCATGTGCGAGACACCACGAGACGTTGCTTGGGAAAGAAGAAGGCGTCAGATGATAATGATTCAGGAGAAGAAGCTGCTTCACAAGGGCGTTTCAGACAATCTTAGTGAGCAGACGAAACTAACAGATGAGGATTTAAACGAGCTTAAAGGATCGATTGAGCTTGGTTTCGGGTTCAATGAAGAAGCAGGACAAAAGCTCTGCAATACATTACCAGCTCTAGATCTTTACTTTGCAGTGAATCGCCAGCTCTCGCCTCTCCCTTCACCTAGCAGCAGCCGTAGCAGCAGCGCATCTGCGTCAACTTTCTCGAGTAGTATACCTTGTAGCCCCAAGAAAGCTGATTCAGATGCATTGAAGATCTTGTGCCCAGGTAAAAAGTTATCATCATTTTTGCCGCTGAGATTTTGAATATGATCATGAATTTGAGTTTTTTTTTTTCGTGTGTGTGGATGTTGTCACAGGAGACAATCCTCAACAAATGAAGGAGAGATTGAGACATTGGGCACAAGCAGTTGCATGCTCTATGATGCAGTCTTACTAATAAGTGTATATGTGGTTCTAAGCATTAATCACTCGTGTTTTCTTTGAAGAGATAGGAAGATTCTGAAGAAATGATATGGCTTTGTATATACTCTATGTAATGGGGAAACAAAAAAAGCCTTTCATGTTCATAAACTGTATGCAATACGATTCGGTGTTGGATTGGATAATAATAAAAATGAGAAATTCATTTAAACTTTTTAGCCAATTTGCATCTTATGCAGGGTTATTTTGTACAGCGAAAACTGATTGGGTATGTTTTGTAATATTAAAACATATCTGAGGGTGTAAAATTCAAATTTGTTGAAAGATTAAAAAAACACCTCTCGAATCTTCTTAAAACCTAGAAGCAAGCCTCCGAGCAATTGAGAACACAAAACAAAACAAAACCAAAACGTTCCTTTAGATTCCTGAGAATCAGACACACAAACTCCGGCATCGGCGAACTGAACTAACTCCGATACTCAAAACCCACTTCAAAGTTTCATTAGCTGTCTGAAGAACATGGCTCCTGACGCTTCTACTGCTCTTGCAGGTCTGCTATCTTCCTACTTCTATATGTTAGAACGATGCATCGAGATTCCTTGCTGGGTTTTGATAGTTTTCTCTAGTCAAATTAAATCTGTGTGAGAAATTTCCGTTTTTTTTTTCTTTGCTCCCGTTTCTGCTGTGGCCAAAACTGGAACTTGAGAAACTCAAATACTAATTGAGAATCAATATTATGAATTGTCTCTGATTTGGGTAATGAAGTTGGACAATTGCTTGGGACAGACATTATAAGTTTAATTGCTAGTCTGAATCTCTAATTTGTGTATTCTTTCTTTGGATTGTTACTCTAGCGAGGGAGAAAGTTCAGCAATTCCTGAATGCAGCTTGTACCGGAAACCTTGATTTCCTCAAGAGTGAGTTCGTTAATTACTTTTTTTTTTATTCAATTGACGACGTTCCCTATTGGTTATATTCCATCTGTTTGGCCCTAATGTCTCTTCTCCAAGCAGAGGTTGCTCAGCAACTTGATGAAGGAAAAGGCCTTACGAAGACTGTTGAGAGTATCAAAGACGCAAACAAACGTGGGGCGCTTCATTTCGCTGCAAGAGAAGGACAAACTGAAATATGCAGATACCTCCTCGAAGAGCTGAAACTTGACGCTGACACAAAAGACGAAGCTGGTCTGTGCTTACCTTTTTTCTTATTTACTGTTGCAGAGCTACTTCTCCGTTCCCAAATTTGAGATTTGATCTGTGAGGATTATCGACGATGTTGCAGGGGATACTCCACTTGTTCATGCTGCGAGGCAAGGACAGATTGCAACGGCGAAGTATCTTTTAGATCACGGAGCCGATCCTAACATCGCAAGCGAACTAGGAGCCACGGCGTTGCATCATGCGGCTGGGACAGGTTGGTTGGTTGGTTAATCAATCGCTCTGTTGTTTATTTCGTTTCACTTTCTCAGGGCATGAAGTATTCTGTTTTGCTTACGTTCAAGGGGAAATCGAGTTGCTAAAGGAACTGCTATCTAGAGGTGTACCCGTTGATTCTCAAAGCGAGTCTGGCACGCCATTAATCTGGGCTGCTGGCCACGACCAAAAAGAAGCTGTGGAAGTCTTGTTACAACACAACGCTGATGTAAAACTTTTGCGTCTTGTCTTTGTTTCATTTTCCATAAAAAAAACCGTAGTTTCAAATAAACCTGAAATCTTGTGTGTTTTTGATTGGTTTTGCAGCCTAATGCTGAGACGGAGGACAACATCACGCCGTTGTTATCTTCAGTGGCAGCTGGTTCTCTCGCTTCCTTAGAGCTGTTGGTCAAGGTCTGAGATGTTCCTAGTTTGTAGTGTTGCCTTCTTTCGGTTGCTATACATGTTGAATCCGAAATAACAAAGCTTGGTTCTTTTTTTTTTTGTAATTACAGGCGGGTGCTAAAGCTAATGTTTTTGCTGGTGGTGCAACTCCGTTGCATATTGCCGCTGATATTGGAGATCTCGAGTTGATTAACTGTTTACTTAAAGCTGGGGCTGATCCGAATCAGAAAGACGAGGTAAACCCAACTTGGAAATCACTTCATTAGCAAAAAAAAAAAACGACATTTTCTTTTGTTCATTTGATCAGATATGAAGACAATGTCTCGCATGGCTTTGCTAGATTTCAACTGGAAATTATGTGATTTGCAGGAAGGCAATAGGCCATTGGAAGTTGCAGCTGCAAGAGAGAACAGAAAGGTTGTTGAGACGCTCTTCCCGTTGACAACTAAGCCCGACTCTGTTTCTGATTGGACAGTAGATGGGATTCTCGCTCACATGGAATCAAACAAAGAACTGGTACTACATCTCTCCTGGTTCTTCTCTCGAATAGTGCTTTCTGACACTTCTTGTCTGAAACAATCTAGTGTTTTCAGGGACGAGAGGAAAACTCAAGCAAGGCAAAATCCGGGACTGAGATCAAGAAAGATCTTCCTGAGGTACTTCATACTTTGATCAATATGCATTTCTCTTGCATCAAATTTTCTAAAGCATTACCGTTATAAACTTGCACAGGTCTCCCCAGAAGCAAAGGAGAAAGCCGCAGAAGCGAAAGCGAGAGGACAAGACGCGTTCCACAGAAAGGATTTCCAGATGGCCATTGACGCGTACACACAAGTATTCAACACTAAAACTACATCTAAAATCAAAGAAAGATTCCTAATTTCTGTCCATTTTGTGATTTTGTGGCATTTTTCTTTGAACGAAGGCAATTGATTTTGACCCGACGGACCATACCTTATTCTCAAACCGAAGCCTCTGCTGGTTGCGGTTAGGACAAGCTGAGCATGCCTTATCGGATGCTAAAGCCTGCAGAGAACTTAAACCCGATTGGCCTAAAGGTTGTTTCAGAGAAGGCGCTGCTCTTCGTTTGCTACAGGTAAAAAACCGTTCTCAATTCCATTAAAAAAGGTTTGATTTTTGAACGTTGAAACCGTGTAATTCACTGAGATATCTATGAATCTCCAGCGATTTGACGAGGCAGCCAATGCTTTTTACGAGGGAGTGTTGCTTAGCCCTGAAAGCAAAGAGCTCATTGATGCATTCAGGTTTGTTTGAAACCCTTGTGGTGTTCGATTTTTTTGTTTGTAATTCAGGGTTTTCAAGATGACTGATGTGTTGTTCTGTCTTTCTTCTACAGAGAAGCGGTAGATGCCGGAAGGAAGTTTCACGGCAAGGACAAGATTGAGGCCAAATCATAAGTTATCTTTCGTGAGATGGCTCTATTTAGTAGTATCTGTATGAAGTTTTGATCTGCTTCTTACTTTGATCTATCCCTTTGATCTATCCCTTATGCAGTTGCCTAGTTTTTACTTTATGTACTATAAACTTCATGAACAAAGTTTTGTTTGTGCTCACATTTTTGGTAATCCAGTTATCACTTTATTCATAAGTATAACTTACAAGTTACGGATCTATCTTTTACTTCTTCAGCAATTGACAAACGCGTACTTGACAATTTAGTGCCCACGAGCATATCCTTGACCTTGACCGTTGGTGTCGAGCTGTTTGAAAACGCCGTCGTCCAAGTCCAAACCGCCGTTACTGCATTGATCCACGATTCTCACAGTAGCTTGTGTTCCGGTCGCAGTATTCGTCACCTGCGTCATGGCCATAACAAAACAAACTATGAGCCTAACAAAAGATTTTACTGGGCTTAGTTCCAATAATATGTCGCCCATAAAAGCCCACTAGTTTGAGCTTACCCAATCAAAATTTGAGCCCAACAAAAGATTTTACTGGGTTTAGTTCGAATTATTTCGAGCCCATAAAGCCCACTAGTTTTGGCTTACCCAATCAAATTTCGAGCCTAATGAGATTTTACTGGGCGTAGTTCCAATAATTTGCGGCCTACAAAAGTCCACTAGTTTGGGCTGACCCAATCAAAATTTGAGCCCAGCAAATGATTTTACTGGGCTTCGTTCGAATTATTTCGGGCCCGTAAAAACCCATTAGTATGGCCTCAACAAATCAAATCATGAACCCAACAAGACTTTTACTGGGGCTAGTTAGAATAATATCTGCCTCACAAAAGCCCATTAGTATGGCCTTTGGGAAACAGAATCGACGTGAGGCGGTGTGGGGGAGTTTTATTCGAATTCGAATTATATAGTTTGGGGTCTGCTAAATAAGTAAATCTGAGCAGTAACACAGAACCAATAGGATTCAAATCTCTGCCTTAAGCATCTTCCGCTAGAATCACGACCACGTGGTCCAACCTGAACGCAGAAAGCTGTCCAACCATACTTCTTACGCCATTCGAGCGGTCGGTCTCCTTTCCACGTCGAGCAATACGCACTTACTTTGTAAAGGTCCCAACCGTTTTGCTCGGGATTGTAGTAATGGTAAGTTGCTCTTACGTTAGAAGCTGTTTGAACGGCTGCTTTAGCCGCAAACGCGCATAGAAAAATAAATTGCTATATATATAAAAAAAAAAAAAGTTTGGACCGTTGTGAATAATTAACTTAGGGTTTGAATTGTCAATGGATTACTAGACTTGGGAGATGCCTATGGCGGCATTTTCAATATTTTGTGGTGGAAATTGGAAGTTTTTGAGGTAATAGTACGTACAACTAGGTTGAACATTTATTATGAAAGATAAAAGTCGAGACATTTATTTTCTCTTATTAGCATTATTTATTGAAGGTAATAATACGGGGAAAAAGATCATTCGATGAACTTGGAGATCTTCAACAGTTGACAAACTCGTAGTTGACCATTAGGTTTCCACGAGCGTATCCCTGACCGTTAGTATCAAGCTGTCTGAAAACACCCTCGTCTAAGTCCAAACCGCCGCTACTACACTGATCCACGATTCTTACAGTCGCTTGCGTCCCAGTCCCCGTATTCGTCACCTGCATGTGCGTTTTTATGTTTTGGCTTATCGATATTATAACTTTCAAGACGTTAAGACTTAAGAGTACTAAATCAAATAAGAAAATATGACACATGATTCACCTAGCTACTTCGGAATAGGGCGTTTTCCAAAACGTGATTTTTTAAATAGAAAAAAAAAAAATGACTAACCCTTAAGCATCTACCGCAAGAGTCACGACCGCGTGGTCCAACCGGGCCGCAGAAAGCTGTCCAGCCATACCTCTGACGCCACTCGAGCGATTGATTCCCATCCCACGTGGAGCAATACGCACTTACTCGGTAAAGATCCCACCCGTTTTGTGCAGGATTGTAGAAATGATAAGTTGCTCTTACGTTGGACGCGGATTGAGCAGCTGCTTTGGCCGCAAACGCACATAGCAACACAAACACATATATGCTAAGTCTTGACATTTTTCTCTATGTTGGTTTTTCTTTAATTTAAATCTGCGGTAGATAATAAAGAATTATTGAAACTCTATTTATAGACCGTGATATACTATGAAATGACTAGTTTAGCCTAGTAAAATTTTTGGAGCTTTGTGTATAATTTTCTTTGGCGTTGATCTGATTATTCAATTGTTTGACAAACAAAAAAAATAAAGATCTGACTATTCAATGTACTTACTATTCTTGGAAGACGTCACTAGTCGTGTTTGTTTCACATTCCATGGCGGTTGAAGTTATTCAATTATAAGAAATGAAAAAAATATTTTTCAAAAAAAAATTCGTAGGAAATAATGAAAACGTGCACGTCCTTGCGAAGATCACCAGTAAATTATTAATAGTATAACGTAGAAACGTTAGTCCCGGTCACATGACAATACTTTTTTTTTTATAAACCAACGACTTTCTAAACACCTAGCTAGCACATATACTCATTTATAAATATAGGTACATGTGTGGTCATCTCCTTTAAATGCATAATCTCTTTGCACACAAATGCTTTCTTCTAACAAACTTTGCTTTGGTTTAATTACTTCTGTTAAATTTTCGATATTAACCTTTTGTATATGATGTCAGGCTATTTTGATCCTAGAAGATCAGACATATGCGACAACTTCCATTAGATTCCTTAATTATACTATATAATACGTAATTAATATGCACTACTAGTAGTACTAGCTAGTATCTATAGTAATATTAAATAAATTCAAGAAACGTCTCTTTATTGATAATTAAAAAAAAGAAACTGCCAAGAACAACACAAACATATCACTCGACATAGAGATCTTTTTATTAATCATGTGTGGACCGATCTAATCTTGACCTGGAATATTCATTACATAATATCAAACGCGATCAGTGGGCGAAAAAAGGATGTTTTTGGAATCGGCAGGCTGATTAATGAGTTCATTGCCACAGTCAACAAATTGGTAGTCAACAATGAGGTGGCCTTGTTGATAGCCAACACCATCGGTATCAATTCTATTGAACATTGCAACATCCAAATCCAATCCTCCATTGCTGCATTGGTCCACTATCCTCACCGTTACTACTGCATTTGTCCTTGTGTTCCTCACCTGCACCCATTTAGATAGCACCAGTTTAGTACACCGGTTCCAAATCCGGCTCAATTATAAAAGAGAGGGAGAGAGAGAAACAAAAATCGTTTCCGAAAAAGTTTTTGTCTTAACATGTAAACTATTTTGGAGTGTGTAACAACATTTCTAGAAACATATGGGTCTTGGTTCCAATTTTCATCTAGTTCGGACCAAAAGCAAACCGACTTGCGAAACAATTTCTGTATAAGCATCCTCTATAAATTAAAATAAAAAAGAATATAGAAAAATCTCAATTAACTGACCCTTAAGCACTTGCCGCAAGAAGCTTGACCACGAGGACCAGACGGTCCACAGAAGGCGGTCCAGCCATATTTGCTCCGCCATGCGTAAGGCTTATCAGCATCCCACGTGGAGCAATAAGCACTCACGGCTCTGAGATCCCAATTGTTCTGCTCCGGATTGTATAAATGGTAGGTGGCGCGTACGTTCGACGCGCTCTCCCCTGGCCCGCTAGGCCCGCTTCCCCAACAATTGCTCTGGCATTTGTTGTCCGGTGAACAGTAGTCCGCCGTAGTGCCGCAGTAGCCGTACTGGCTGCAGCAGATGTTGCCGGAACAAGTCCGACCACCGGCTTGACGGCCGCATTGTTGTCCGGCCACGGTAGCCACCGTGCAAGATAACAGTATGATGGCTATGCTAAGTCTGATCCTCATGATCGATCAGTTTTCTTTTGTCTTCTTTGTGGTCTAATGCATGTATCTCCATATTTATAAATATCAATAGTTTAACTATATAATAATGTAACAAATTAATTATATAATAATGTTTGCCTTGTGATTTTATCCAATTGATTTAATATACGTTAGAGATAACGTGTTTAAACCATATGGTATACACATGTACGTCACATAATATACATGCACTGATTCAGTTGATTCGAGAAACTGTGAGTAACTTATGTTGGATTGGATAGAAAATTAGATATGTATGAAGTATATTTTTTTTTTTTCATTTTCCAAAACGGTTGATTCAATTGATTAGAGAAACTGTATGACTTATGTTGTTAGAATTTGGAATATCATTTGGCATATGCTAATTTACGAGAATTTAAGATGGCGTAATGGGTGTGGGGTGAGACTCCGTTGTGAAAATGTCTGTATAAGAAGCGTCGTCCGTCGATAACCTTTTAACAGAAGGTGACTGGTCAAAGCCATCAGATCGGACGGTCGAAAATTGCTAAACAGGTGATAATGAGAGGCGGCTAATTGTAATTGATTTGTTTGTAGAAAATCAGCTTTGGCAGATAAGAGTCGCTATCACCTTGGATATATATTGGATTCCATCACTTTGACTAATCAAATGTTAACAAAATCGGACAATTGATTGGCCATATGAATGTTTTTTTTTTTTTTTATTATAATTTACAAAATGAGATTATTCAGCTTCAGCCAAAAGTTTGAGTTACTGAAAAATGTTATTTGTAATCCATAATCAAGTCAGCTTGAAATCATTTTGTAAAGTATTTTTAGTTTCAACCCTAATTGAGTTACTGAAAGATGTAAGTACAATAGACACAAAATCTCCGTTATGATTTGGTTGCAACATTTTATCTATAGCCTTGAATCCTTGATGAAGTTCCAAGACATAACTGAAAGAGAGTTTGTCAGCTAGCATAGCAGGGCTTACTCTTTTTGGGGAGAAACAAAAATATTCACTAAGCCCATTGATTTTGTAAAAGGCCCATTAACCCATTAAACCTTCCGAAGCCACCAGCATTTCCTCTCTAACCTCAACAATACTCACAATTACATTTATAGCAAAAACTTGGTTTCGTCTACTATTTGTCTACCTGACCAACTCTCTTCATTTAATAACTCTTATTGATCTTGTAACCTATTTCACTTTATCTTGTTAGTAGTCTCAGCTTGTTTTTGTAAGCTACCATTTTAAAACAGCTCTTTGGGAAAACTTTTTGCTGAGCCAATTCGACAAAACAAATAAATTTTACAAACAAGTTACTATTTGTTTTTGGTGTATTAATTCGTAGCTAGAAATATCAAATTTATGAAGAAATTATGGAAATAAATCAAACAAAGTAATCTCATCGTTGTAACCCCATTCTTTTGTTGAGGGGATGGATGACAGCGTAAAGCATCAATAATGGAGCATACATATTAACGACATTATCAATTTGTTTACAATTCATTAAAATAGTGTCCCCCAACAACTCTACATTATCCACATGCTCTTGCCCTTTCCACTATCACATATTTACCTTGATTTATTTTAAAAAATCCATGTATGTTTTAACGAAAAAAATACCCAAAAACTTAAAAAAAATGATAAATGAAACTTAAGATCGACGTATAATTTACTGTTTTGACTTTACATAGAAAGGAAATTTTGTAGTAGCAAAATATGTAAATACTGATTGAATCCTGTACTAAATAATATACACACGAAAGTAATTGGAGAAAATATTAAAATTAATTGTGCTGGTTTTATTATTGTCAACTTGTTCATGTAATTTATCCACCCCAGTTATTAGAAACAAATAAAAAGGGGAGTACAATTTTAAGATGTCGAAAATTAATAATAAATATCGTTTTACAATTGGAGAAAAAAAGAAAACAAAAACACATTGTGAAAGTACAGTTAACGTGATAATAATTTGTCACGTCAAAGTATAACACATTAGAATGTCTTACGGACACTTACCATATAGACAATACAATAATGCGTAAAAAACAAAAGTTGTTCAAAACGGAAATAGATGCAACCTAATCAAATATACATATAGCAAAAAGGGGTTTTAAATTTATAAAATGGAATAACATCACAATATAATTATTATTAAATATAATACGCAAACTCCCTGCTCGGAACAGTAGTTTCGAGCCGGTTTGGCTTTTCTCGGTTTGAGATATCCAGCCGATCGAACCGATTTTCCTTCCTTTTGTTGGTAATAATAATAACAAGAAATGTCGTCAAGAACTTCTCAGCTTCTGTTCTTGCACTTTTCTAATGCCCTTGGAGCTGGAATATAACGAATATCGTATTAACGAAAAACTGCAAACTAAATCCTAAAACTAATATCTTGGATTAAAAATACTAACCAAGTCCGATTGCTTCTGATCCCTTCATTATCCTTATACGTTTGCATGAATCAACAAACATCCTGAACACAATCCAACCGAAACATCATTAATAAACATTATGAAGAAACATCTTAAGCAAACATAATTTATAGTTAATACTCACTCCCAAGGTACGTCTCCTACAAGCATCCAGTCACCATCTTTATCTTCATACGTTGGAACATAATCTGATCCGTTCAAAAGATCGATCAATTTACTCTCATTCATAAAATCCTTCATTCCTTGTGGTCCATAGTTGCCTGAAAAAAAAACAATTTATCAATAAATTCACAATATATAGAAAAAGAATTTATGCTTAAATAAATATCAATTTATGTTACTTACCTATGGTAAAAGAGCTGAACAGTTTGCTTAAGGCGTCGGAGAGGTCATGGTAAGTTTTGTACAGCTTCAAGTCAATTTTTCTTAGGTATGGTGCGCCGTCCATGCTAACCTTCACGTAAGCCACGGCGGCACCGGCAGAGGCGGATGAGGTGGCTCCGCTGCTACCGGAAGTCTTCTCGGTTCCTTCAGTGGCAACTTCGGTGCTCGGCTTTTGGCTGGACATGACGTTCTTCCGGAAAGATCGTACCGGTGGCCATCCTACAACTTGTGTCCTGAAATTCCGTAACGTTATTTAAATATTTAGTTTCAAATCTATTACATTATTAGTTAATCTATTGTATATCAAAAATATTTGTTTTTTGCTTCATACGTGTCGAGTGTTAGGTGGCTGTAGTTGTCCAACCATTAAATTAATCTTTAATTTTTTTCGTAGGGAAAGTAAGATTCCTTATGTTTTGTAATTTTCCTAGTTCTTCCCGACCAAAAACATTTCAAACAAAATACTCAGCCTAGCAAGAATATTAATTAATCAATATAAATAATCTTTGTAAAACTATAGAAAGAAAAAAAAAACAGGGAGCAAAACAAAGAAAATCACAGAGATTATGAGAATTATTTGCATAGTTGCTCTAACCTATTTTAATTCATTATGGAAATTAACAAACATATTCAACCATCGTGTAAAAGCATATTCATCTCTAAAAATCATGACGAGCTCGTATAATCTACTTCTTCCGATTCTACTCACAAATAATCTATTTTTCAACACATATAAAATATCTAACTTAAGTAAAGATCTCACATATATACAAAGTAACTATATAAAAATATATTAACTGAAACAGAGATTGAAATTCAGTTTCTTACTTGGCCGGTGGTTTTACGACCTTCTCTTTCATATTCTCTAAATCAACTTCGGAAGCAGAATCCATAGCCGTCGATGAAAGATTCAGCTTGAGATCAATGGTCTCAGAAAATCCTCTTTTCCCATTATTTTTCACGGCCATGTCTCCTCCATGACTCCCACCCGGCAGCCCTAGCCTAAGCTCCGTTGCCTCAAAATTAATCATCTTCTTTGCTACTGATTAGCAACGAGTAATTAAAGTAGGTGATCCAAAAACAAGCAAGAGAATATAGATTCTTTTGTTTTTTTTACACTTCTTTTGAATTTTTTTTTGTTTACACAACAACAGAAAAGAGAAAGAGAGGAGGATGTGAAATGTGTAGAAACAAAGGGCTAAATATTGGATCATGTGTGGTAGTATAAAATACCGAATTCATCATTGAGGATTATTATTTGAACGGGTGCGATGCTGCCGCGTGGATGCTGGGATTGGTTGGACCGTAAAGAGTGTTGTCGGGAGGGGATGATGTCATGAATGGCGTCATTTTTCTCGGAATAATTGCGGCCAAGCCAGTGGGCAAAGGCCAAGTTGGCACAGTTTCTCCTTTTCTGTTCCAAGTTTATCCACCAATCAAAAAGAATTGTTATGTATTAAAAAAAAATTTAAAATATGAATTACTTTTAGCTTTTTTTTAGTCATTACTACTAGAAAATGTATATTTCTCCTTTCAATAAAATACAATTAAATTAAAAAAAAATTAAAAAAAAATTCACTCTTCTTAATTCAAGAAACTGATAAGAACCAATAATATTTAACAAAAGAGTGTTTTGTCGGAAATTAGTTTTATGTAGTTCAATTAGAATGGAATAAAATGACAGCTAAGACAGTATGGGGCCTACAGATGGGAAAGAAATCGAAAGTTGTCAGCTTCAAACATGTGTTTTGATTCCATGGATTCGTTGTCCTTCTTGTGGGACCCGCCATTCACAAGGGCTATGCTTACCTTTTTTAAGATTATTTTCACTAAACCTAATAATTTGTGTTAAATATATATAATGCGGATAAAAAATAAATGAAATCAAATTAAATGAACCAAAGTCCTGGTCTGCCATAGCGTTTTCGTACTATGCTTCCCCCATGTGCATCTGTCTTGTTTGTAGATTTACGGGGATTATTGGAAAACCAAAAGAAAATTATGGATTAATGTATTATTATATATTCAAGTAATTGTGAGTAAACAAAATTGCCAAGTTCAGATGACTCTTCTTGCCTTTTGTAATAAGAAAACATTCCTTCTGATCGATTAGGAATATGATATATTATATTGTTAGGAACTGGGATTAAGCTAGTGCCCATCTTTTTGTTTGCTAAGAA